ACACATAGTCTTGAGCTGTGCCCACGTCCTTAGCCTCTTCTTCATGCTGGGGTTCACCAAGTTTTCCATTATAACCAAGTGGTGTCATTTCTTCATTAACCTCAACAGAGGCATTATTAGAGATCTGAGAAGGCTCATGGTTCTCTTGGTAGCTTTGTTGAATTCCTTGAACTCCATGGTTGGACCAATGATTGAGAGACATACTCTTTTGGTTGGAATTCCCATTCTGGACCACGAAATTGGCTTCCTCTTGGTGCTGCTCAAGATCCAAACAAAGTCCTCTTTCTTGCACACTTAGAAGCTTTTCCCATCTATCCAACTTATCTTGCAAAGCTGTCCACTTGAAGTCTTCATACAAACTCTCTTTGGGGATTGGATCATGGCTTTCATTGTAGCTTTCCTCACTCCTGGACAAGTTGTCAACAAGTAGCTCTCCTTCCTCTATGGTGAGGTTTAGAAAACTTCCTTTGCTAGCTACATCCAATGTCCATTTCTGCTCCTTTGCAACTCCCCAATAGAAATGGCTAAGTATAGCTTCTCTTGTAAACCTATGATGTGGACAATTCCTAGTGTATCCTCTCAACCTTTCCCATGCCTCATGAAAGGTTTCATGGCTGCCTTGTTGGAAGCTCAAGATGTTTCTCCTCATTTGGTGTGTTCTTTGTATGGGATAGAACCTTAGAAGGAAGACTCTCTTGCAATCATCCCAAGAATGACCAAATGAGATGGTATGGCTCTCTCCCATTGGCTTGCCTTTTCTCCAAGTGAGAATGGAAACAAGATGAGCTTGATACTATCTTCAGGCACACCACAGATCCTAAACGTGCTACACAACCTCTCAAAGTAGTCCAAGTGATCACAAGGATTCTCCAATCCATTTCCCAAGAACTTAGAGCTTTGAATCAACCTTATCAAACTTGGCTTGATCTCATAGACGTGGGCTTCAATGGGTGGAGGATGGATTCCATAACTAAACCCATCATAATGAGGAACATCACAATCTCCAACTGTGGGCGTGGCCACTTGTGCTTGGTTAGGAGTTTGGACCAATTCTGGAGATTGTGGAGCTAGAGGAATGCTCTTGTAGCTGTCCATCTCAAACACCTCACATGATCTTGTCTTCCCATTTCTCTTCTTCTTAGTTTGGTACCTTGGAAAGCACAAGAGAATAAGAGAACACAAGTTAGTAACAACAAAAAGGAAAAAGTTCATCATCTCCTTGAGAGATGAACAAACACAAGAACTTGATCTTGCAAGCTACTGGAATTCTAAATGCAATCAAAACAATTCCCAATCGGCAACGGCGCCAAATTGATAACAGGATTTTACTATCAATTACTCAAATCCAGCTACTCATGTCATTGTAGCATTTGAGGTGTCAATCCAAATGGGAAGCTGATTACTCTATAGAACTATGCAGGAACTATGCAATTCAAGCCAAATGATTAAAAGGAGGGATGTAACAACTAAACAACCTAATATAACGGAAATGCAATGCAGAAAGTAAAAGAAAGCAGCTAAATGCAAGAAATTAACAAGAACAAGCAGATGCAAGGGAGCTCGACCAAGAGCTCGATCGAGTTGATGAGCTCGACCAAGAGCTCGAGTTGAGGAGCTCGATCGAGTTGAGGGTCGAGTTGGTGTAAAAACAGAGGAAATGCAATGAAAAGCGATAAAGGTGCAAACTTTAAGATGCTAATGCGAAGATTAGGGTTAAAGACAGGGTTTTGCAGCTAAAGGGAGGCTATACTTAATCAGTCTTGCTCTTAAACAACTTGTATCAAGGTATCTCTTGATATTGAGCTTCTCAATGCCTAGCTAACCCTTTCCCAAGGTGAAAGCTATCAACCAAGACTTGATCTCAGAAACAGGGGGTTAGCCAGTGAGAATCAAGCCTTGGAGGCCATAGGATCATTGCTCAAACTAATCCATCCAACCCCTATGAACTCCATTTCGAGAGCAAGAGTTATTGGAGCTCTTAGTGGACCTTTTCCAACGATTTCCATCACTTCCATGTGGAGAATCGCCTATGGACATACAAGCCAGGGGTAGTGGTCATGTAGCCTTAAGGTTTGTCCAAAAGAGAGAGATTTCTAGATTAAGAACATAAGCAAGAAGGATTAAGCATAAACAACCTCTAACCTATCCCATCTTAAGCCCTAAAGGGAACTACTCACTACACATGATGAAATAACCAACCAAATGCAATGAATAGACATTAAAAGATAGAGGAGATAAAGATAAACAACTTTTATTGAAATAAGCAAGTGCAAAAACACAATAACAAGCCTAGATCTAGGGTTCTATGAGCAAGAGCTCAAGAACACAAAGAGAGGCTAAAAAGTAAAAAGGGAAATGCAAATACAAGATTAAATAAAAGTTGAGCAAAAGCTGTGTTTAATTCGTGGCTCAATGCCTTTTAGTAAAGCAAACTAGGTTTAGGGTCAAAGGGGAGTCAAAGGGAAGCAACATTTTTCGGGTTTGACTTTGACTCCTGGAAAAGCAGCTCGATCGAGTTGGAAACTGGCCGGTCGAGCTGGTGGGTCGAGTCCAACCAAAATCGTCGTATCTTTGAACCGCTGGTCCGAATGACATGAAACCACCTCCAGACGAAAGCTAACTCAATTATCCACAACTTCCAAGAAGAAGTCAGAGGCTGAATCGGAGTGTAAACCCTTCATTTGATACGATACTTCGGACGCATCTCACTAGCTCGACCGAGTGCGGGTCCGTACATGGGGCAGACAGAGTCTTTCCTTCCTCAACTAGTCTCCAGTGATAGGCAATGTTCCAATTAGCTCCAAATGACCTGATTAAGACATCAAACGTGCATATGTATGCAAATGCAAGCCTAAAACTACTATGTATGCAAAAGAAGAGAAAACATCAAGAAATGATGCTTGGGTGAATGAAACTATGCAAAAGATGGATAAAAGAGCTAAAACCATGTAAATGCAAACACATGCAATCACAATCAATCAATTCCTCTTAACCATCATAGTCATTGAAGTATAAGAGGTTATCAATCCAAAATGGGAAACTTGTCACTCTTTGAGAATATGAAACAACCAGAAAGTCAAGCAAGCAGTTATAGATTTGAAGTAACACTAACAACCTAAAATAATGAAAAGCAGTGCAATAAAAGTAAACAAAGCAGTGAAGTGTCAGCTCGACCAAGAGCTCGAGTCGAGTAGAGCAAAGTACCAGCTCGATCGAGTTTAGGGACGAGTTGAGACAAACAAAGCTAAAGGTGACGACTTTAACAAGATAAAGAGAGAATTAGGGTTCAAGACAGGGTTTTGCAATCAAAGGAATCTACACTTAATCAATCTAGCTCTTAAAACTCCTTGTATCAAGGCTTCTCTTGATATTGGGCTTCTCAATGCCTAGCCAACCCTTTCCCAAGGTGGAGGCTATCAACCAAGGAATGATCTCAGAAACAGGGGGTTAGCCAGTGAGAATCAAACCTTGGAGGCTATAGGATCATTGCCCAAACTAATCCATCCAACCCCTTAGACCTCTATTGTCTAGAGCAAGAGATATTGGAGCTCTTAGTGGATCTTTTCCAGCGAATGCCATCACTTTCGTGTGGGGAGTCGCCTAAGGACTTACAAGCCAGGGGTAGTGGTCATGTAGCCTTAAGATCTATCCAAAAGAGAGAGAATCTAGATTAAGACCATAAGCTAGAAGGATTAAGCATATGAAACCTCTAATCTATCCCATCTCAAACCCTAATGGGTAACTACTCACTACACATGAATGTAAACACAAGCAAATGCAATAAAAGAGACATCATAAGAAAGAGGAGATGAAATTAAACAACTTTTATTGAAATAAGCAAGTGCAAATACAAAGAGATTATCCAGGATCTAAGGATTCAAGAAGCAAGAGCTTCAAGAACACAAAGATGGGATTAGATCTCTAAAAAGTAAAAGTACAATAAATTAAAAGAAGCTAAAACAAAATAATCTAAAGCTTGGTGGTTTTTTCGTGGCTTAGAGCCTTTAAATACAAAGAGGATTAGGTTTAGGGTCAAAGGAAAGTCAAGGGGGAAGCAACATTTTTCGGGTTTGACTTTGACTTCTCAGCTCGATCGAGTTGAAGCTTGGCCGGTCGAGTTGAGGAACTCGACCGGTTGGTCGAGTAGACGGTCGAGCTGGTCTTCAAGATGGCTTCTCCCTTCTTCCTTTGCGTATCCAGTTGAGCTGCTCCATGTGCCAAGTCCCTCCATGCTCCTTGTCCCATATGCTCCAGAATGCTCCAAAAGACCTATTTCAAAGGACCAAACATGCATATGTATGCAAATGCAACCTAAAACTAACATGAATGCATAAGAAGAGAAAAGGAACAAGATATGATGCAAATGGAAGCTAAAACTATGCAAAAGATGCATAAAAGATGTGCTAAAACTATGTAAAATGCAAGTACATCAACACCCCCAAACTTGAACTTTGCTTGCCCTCAAGCAAACAAATAGAACAAGAAAGAGATGAGGTTTGAAAACAGCTGATTCAACACTTAAAAACATGTCCTCAAAAGCGATTTGCTAAATGTCCAACTTAGAGATTCTAGAATGCAACAAGGTGAGAGATATTCATTAAGATTTAACCATGCTTATCAACATCAATCCCACTTCACAGTCACTCAAACAATGCATTCAAATCAGCAAATCCCTTTAACATTCATTAAGCAAAAACAGTGAACCAAAAACATGCAAGATCAATCAACTCATTTGGTTTCAAGGGTTTATGGGTTAAGAGACAAAGAGGGTCTCTTTTGTATGGTGGTTTAGTAACAGGGATCTCTCAAGAAAGTGGCTTTGCTTTGGCAGAAGGCTAAGTGTTAGAACCAAAGATGATGCAAGAACAGCAGCTCGAGCCGCCTAATCCTAACTCGATCGAGTTCAACACTTAGAGCTTTTTAGAACAAAATCCTAACTACCCTTTTTGGCATTTCGCCTTTGAAACTGAGGAGCTTTGCTCACTTTTCTTTTAAGAACATCCTAGGGAGAGGCTTCTTGAGGTAACATCTAGCGGTTTGGGATTTTCTAAACACTTAGGGAACTTTTCTTTCCTTTTTGACACTTGAGGCTTTGCCTTCTTTTCATTCTACTTAGAACCCTTTTTACTTCCTTTTTTAACTTCCCAAACCTTTACTAGACCCTTTTTAACACTGCCAACTCCCTGGACTTAACTAAACTCTTTTTCCTTTGGATTTTCCCAACTTTTACCACTTTTCTGGTTTTTACACCCAACTCGATCGAGCTCGAGTTGGCACCCCCAAACTTAGCCTGAAAACAATCCCAAGAGAACTAGACAACTAGAACTACTGCCCCTGCCGGTTTAAACACAACACCTTATGCTAAGCAAAGCCAAGAAAGGTTCTCACATTCGCACAAGAGATAATATGGGGTTTGAAATGAAAAGGCTTAGGTTTAAGGTGTGGTAACTGTCTCAAAGATGAGATCAGCTATCTGGACAAGCAAAGGGATATGAAAATGGTAAAGAATGTCCAGATATGTATGTGGTAGCCATGAGTTGAAATCAAATGCAAGCATTGGTAATTAAAGATCAAGTTATGGTTCAAATAGATAGGGAAATGCATCAAATCACAGCAATGGTTGAATGAGATGTGCATGCAGTGATATGATCAAGATAAACATGGTTCTTGCTGCTCAATCAATCTCACCCTAATGCACAAAGAATCTAAAAACAGGGCACTCAAGAAATCGCAAATGATGACAAGTTTTCAAAGTCAAATCAACAATGCAAGTGAAAATGCAATCCTAAACAATTAACAAATATGAATGCAAAAAGATGAAAATATTTTTGGATTTTTTGAAAATTTTATGATTTTTTTGGTTTTTCTATGCAAAAGATAATGAAAAACTAAGAACAAAGAAAACAAGGTTAAATCATCTCTTGAACCCTCCCCCAAACTTAAATCACACAGTCCCTTGTGTGAGAAAAATTTAGTGAAAGATTCAAGAGGGCAAAACCAAGAAAAAACAAGAACAAATGCAAGAAAATATGAAATGGTATATACAAGGGTTGGTGTTTGGATACCTCAGTGCCCCCCAAAGAACTGGGAGGCAAGGTCGTGGTCTGGAGATGGGAGACGGCCATCAGGAGCACTCCACTCGACTGGGTTCCTGGCTCACTCGATCGAGCTTGCGGCTCCTCTTCCTCCTCTTCTTCATCTTGAAAGTGTGTGGCTCCTTGGCCTTGGTGGAGCTGGCTAGCTCGACTGTCCATAGGGGTTCCATCTACTCCGGGGAGTCCTGGTAAGGCTGGATCGTACTCGAATCCCGGGTTCTCGAACTGGGGCTCCTCCAGGTCAACTCGACCGTCAGCTCGATCGAGTTGAGTTTCCTCTGTTTGGACTCGATCGAGTCCGGTGGTCGAGCTGGAGCGTCTGGCCTTGGAAGTCTTCCTCCTTCTCTGCGTGTTGTCTTCTCCTTCCCTTGGCTCGAAAGAAGAGGCTCTGTGAGGCTCTTGGGCAGGGAGCCTCCTTGGAGTGGTGAGAGAGATCTACTCCTAGGGAATGTGGGGGCCTTGGACTTCTTCTTCTTGCTTGAAGAACCAGAAACCTTCTTCTCCAAACTTTTGATCTTGCTCACCATCTTGTCCATGGACTTTTGCATCTTCTCATGGCTTTCCCTTGCCATTTGTTGAACTTTTGGAGAAGTCCAATCCTCTTGTGGCAGCCACAACAGAGGGGTTCATCCTTGGAGCCTCATACTCCTCAAAGTAATAGCACTCAGGCTCACCCAAATCCGCACTCTCCTGGCCTGATCTTCAGCTCGATCCTCAGCTCGACTCAGCTCGATCGAGCTCAGGCTCCTCTTCTCGCATCATCCTCATGCCCAACTAATGTGTACACAGGGGGTCTGAAGTCAATGTTCTCACCCCTTTACTGTGGTGAGCTCTGGGTTGGGCAGGAGAACTTGGAGGGTCCAGCCAATGGATGTGTGAACTTGAATTGGAACTCCCATCCAACTCCTTGTGCTCAATGAGAGGTTGGTCTTGCAAAACTTGATGTCCATCCAACCTGGTTCAGTGGCTCTCTATCAGTTGGGTTCACTCCAGCAGCACACAAGATAGGTGTGATGAGTCCTCCAACACTTAGACGCCTCCCTCGTTGATGTCTAGTGTTGTAAGCTGTGATCTTGTAGGTAAGGAGATGGTCAAGGAAGGCATCAAGTTCCCTGTGTCAGATCTATCTCCCCTGATCCTCTTGCCATCGCTTGTGCGTGAGAGAAGGGGCTTGATTCCCATGTCAAGAAACTTGAGTTCCCCCTCGTTGATTGTCCCGGTCGCCTTCCTTGCAAAGAAGGTGTTGGCAAGTGCCTTGTGCACATACCTCAAGACTGGGCTCCTGATCTGAGCTGCCTTGGACCTTGAGGAAGAGTACACTCCATCAGCGATTGTAGCCCAAACCCTTTGGAGTTCCTTTTCCTTGAAGTTCCATCAGCAAGTTCTTCTCTACTGGTCGCACTGCTAAGCTGAGAAGCGAGATATCTGGTTTCACTCAAAGGAACAATGAGACATTTGCTGAAGCTTGGGAGAGATTCAAGGGTTACACCAGTCAATGCCCTCATCATGGCTTCAGCAATGAGTCTTTGCTTTCCACACTTTACAGAGGAGTTTTGCCAAGATACAAAGAGATGTTGGACACAGCCAGTAATGGAAACTTCCTCAATCAAGATGTAGATGATGGCTGGCAGCTTGTGGAGAACATTGCTAACTCAAGTGGGAGCTATGGAGAGGAGTATGATCGCACAAACAGGAGCTCGACCTCCAACTCGATCGAGTCTGATAGTAAGCTGAGAAACGATGTCAAGGCACTCAATGAGAAGTTGGATACGCTTATCTTAGCTCAATCCACAATGAAGAAGGCCAACTTTGTTTCTAAAGAAGAGATGGTTCAAGGCCAAGAAGAGGAGGAGAATCAGTTTGCTGAAGTGTGCTACATTAAGAATGGACAAGGAGGTTATCAAAACGGTTACTATGGCTACAAGTCACACCCTACCATGTCCTACAGTAACACTGATGTTGCCAATCCTCAAGATCAAGTCTACCCTCCGCAGCAACAGGCTCCAGCGAGTCAGCCTCCACAGCAAGGATATGGTCAGAAAGGGAATTTCCAGGGCCATCAGGGAAATTATCAAGGACAACAGCAGAGTGTACCAACTGGGTATGCACCTCAAGCGCCTCAGGCTTCACCAAGTCAGGAACAAGAAATAAAAGCCATGTTGAAGCAGCTCTTACAAGGTCAAGCAGATGGTGCTATGGAGATAAGCAAGAAGTTGGCTGAGATGAACTCTAAGATTGAATCCTTGAACACTAGAGTTCACTCTTTGGAACACCATGCTTCTTCTTCTGCTGCTAAGCAAGGTCAATTTCCTGGAAAGGCTGTTCAGAATCCAAAGGAGCATTGTAGAGCGATCTTCACTCAAGAGGAAGGATTTGATCAACAAGCTGCTAATGAGAAGGATATTGAGGAGATCTGTATGCTGCTTAATAATGAAGACAATGTTGTTGCTGATGCTCCTGGAGTCCAGTACACTCAACCTGAAGTGCAAACTCGATTGGCAGCTCGATCGAGCCAGACCGTCTCACCAGCTCGATCGAGTCAGATGCTTTATGCTCCAACACCATCTGATGATGACACCTACAAGCCCCCTGTTCCATTTCCAAGTAGAATCCTTACCAAGAATCAGAAAAAAAGTCATCACCAAGTTTAGGAATGACATGAGTAAGATTGGGGTTGAGCTACCAAATATGGGAAGTTTTCAAGCTGCTCATGTCCAAAAGAAGATGATTAAGGACATACTTGATAACAAGGACGAAGTAGCTCAGCTTTTGGAGCCCTCTTCTTCCCAGGGTGATCTCTTATCCACACCAACCTCACTACCCAAGCTGAATGGTCAGGGAAGCTTCACTCTGCCTTGTACACTTGGTCACCTACAACTTGAGGATGCACTTGTTGATTCTGGAGCAAGTATCAATCTGATCTCTCTTGTTCTAATACAGAAATTGGGTATACAGAGTCTGATCCAGCGACCTAAGTCTTCTATCATGTTTGGGGATGCTTCTTCTAAAGCCCCACTTGGTATTGTCATGGATTTCCCTTTGAGAATTGGAGAGTGCACAATCCCAATTGATCTAACAGTTCTGGATATGGTTGACGAGAAGGATGTGCCATTGATCTTAGGGACACCTTTCCTCACCACTGTTGGTGCCTCCATTGATTTCCATACAAAGAAAGTGATCCTGCACAATGTCAACAGCAAAGTCTCTTACCCTCTCAAGGCATCAAGCTCTAAATATTGTGGAACCATTGCCACTAAGTCACTGAGCATCAAGGGTGATGAGTTTGCTGAGGTTGAAAAGATGGAGATAATGACTGAGAGCAGCACAGAGCCAGTTATTTGTGAACCTTGTGTTCTGGATGAGATGGGTCTTGCAGTTTTGTTTAGTGAGCAGCTAGGAAGTGCTCAAAAAGATGGGGAGGGTATGGCTTTGAAGGCGTCTCCTGGACATAAAAGAAAGATGATCACGCCTCAGACTCTCTCAAGCGCTCCATCCCAGCTTACCCTGACTCTGTTGCCATCCAAGTTCACAAATGGGAAGATTGAGTACAAGATCAAGTGCAAGAGAAAGTCTAAACCGTTTTCCAGTATCAATGCCTTGGTCAGTCCTGAGCTGCAAAAAGATCAAACCAAGCTCAAGGAGCTCCTATCTTCAGTCCTTACTGTCACATTTGATGGCGGGACCGCTCTCATTCATGCCTAAAAGGTAAAAGGTCAAGCTATGCGACCTAAAACAAGCTCACTTGGGAGGAATTCCCATGTCTATCTTGTATATAATGCTTTCATTTAAGTTCTTTGTAGTTGTTTCTGTCTAAGGCTTGCAGGAGTTAGTTCAAAAGGGAAGCTATTCTGACTCGAGCCACAGACTCGATCGAGCCCAATCCCACCATACCTATTTTGGCCCGATTGATGCCGTTATGATGCTATTGTCTCCTGCCCTCTCCAACTCATGACCTTGCTTCCCAGTTCTTTGGGGAGCACTAAGGTATCAAACATTTCTTCCCTTGTACATACCATCTCATTTTCATGCATTTTTCTTTGTTTTTCCTCTTGAATCTTTCTTTGAACTTCTTTCACACAAGGGACTGTGTGATTTAAGTTTGGGGGAGGGTTCAAGAGATGATTTAACCTTGTTTTTCTGTTCTTAGTTTTTCATTCATCCATTTGCATAGAAAAACCAAAAAAATCATAAAATTTTCAAAAATCCAAAAATATTTTCATCTTTTTGCATTCATATGTTAGAATTGTTTAGGATTGCATCTTTCATTTGCATTGTTGATTTGATCTTGAAAACTTGTCATCATTTGCGATTTCTTGAGTGCCCTATTTCTAGATTCTTTTGTGCATTAGGGTGAGATTGATTGAGCAGCAAGAACCATGTTTATCTTGATCATATCACTGCATGCACATCTCATTCAACCATTGCTGTGATTTGATGCATTTCCCTATCTATTTGAACCATAATTTGATCTTTAATTACCAATGCTTGCATTTGATTTCAACTCATGGCTACCACATACATATCTGGACATTCTTTACCTTTTCATATCCCTCTTGCTTGTCCAGATAGCTGATCTCCATCTTTGAGACAGTTACCACACCTTAAACCTAAGCCTTTTCATTTCAAACCCCATATTATCTCTTGTGCGATTGTGAGAACCTTTCTTGGCTTTGCTTAGCATAAGGTGTTGTGTTTAAACCGGCAGGGGCAGTAGTTCTAGTTGTCTAGTTCTCTTGGGATTGTTTTCAGGCTAAGTTTGGGGGTGCCAACTCGAGCTCGATCGAGTTGGGTGTAAAAACCAGAAAAGTGGTAAAAGTTGGGAAAATCCAAAGGAAAAAGAGTTTAGTTAAGTCCAGGGAGTTGGCAGTGTTAAAAAAGGGTCTAGTAAAGGTTTGGGAAGTTAAAAAAGAAAGTAAAAAGGGTTCTAAGTAGAAAGAAAAGAAGGCAAAGCCTCAAGTGTCAAAAAGAAGAAAAGTTCCCTAAGTGTTTAGAAAATCCCAAACCGCTAGATGTTACCTCAAGAAGCCTCTCCCTAGGATGTTCTTAAAAGAAAAGTGAGCAAAGCTCCTCAGTTTCAAAGGCGAAATGCCAAAAAGGGTAGTTAGGATTTTGTTCTAAAAAGCTCTAAGTGTTGAACTCGATCGAGTTAGGATTAGGCGGCTCGAGTTGCTGTTCTTGCATCATCTTTGGTTCTAACACTTAGCCTTCTGCCAAAGCAAAGCCACTTTCTTGAGAGATCCCTGTTACTAAACCACCATACAAAAGAGACCCTCTTTGTCTCTTAACCCATAAACCCTTGAAACCAAATGAGTTGATTGATCTTGCATGTTTTTGGTTCACTGTTTTTGCTTAATGAATGTTAAAGGGATTTGCTGATTTGAATGCATTGTTTGAGTGACTGTGAAGTGGGATTGATGTTGATAAGCATGGTTAAATCTTAATGAATATCTCTCACCTTGTTGCATTCTAGAATCTCTAAGTTGGACATTTAGCAAATCGCTTTTGAGGACATGTTTTTAAGGTTGAATCAATTTGTTTTCAAACCTCATCCCTTTCTTGTTCTATTTGTTTGCTTGAGGGCAAGCAAAGGTCAAGTTTGGGGGTGTTGATGTACTTGCATTTTACATGGTTTTAGCCCTTCTTTTATGCATCTTTTGCATAGTTTCATTCACCCAAGCATCATTTCTTGATGTTTTCCCTTCTTTTGCATACATAGTAGTTTTAGGCTTGCATTTGCATACATGTGCACGTTTGATGTCTTAATCAGGTCATTTGGAGCTAATTGGAACATTGCCTATCACTGGAGACTAGTTGAGGAAGGAAAGACTCTGTCTGCCCCATGTACGGACCCGCACTCGGTCGAGCTAGTGAGATGCGTCCGAAGTATCGTATCAAATGAAGGGTTTCCACTACGATTCAGCCTCTGACTTCTTCTTGGAAGTTGTGGATAATTGAGTTAGCTTTCGTCTGGAGGTGGTTTCATGTCATTCGGACCAGCGGTTCAGAAGATACGACGATATTGGTTGGACTCGACCCACCAGCTCGACCGGCCAGTTTCCAACTCGATCGAGCTGCTTTCCAGGAGTCAAAGTCAAACCCGAAAAATGTTGCTTCCCTTTGACTCCCCTTTGACCCTAAACCTAGTTTGCTTTACTATAAATGGCATTGAGCCACGAATTAAACATAGCTTTTGCTCAACTTTTATTTAATCTTGTATTTGCATTTCCCTTTTTACTTTTTAGCCTCTCTTTGTGTTCTTGAGCTCTTGCTCATGAACCTTAGATCTAGGCTTTATTATTGTATTTCTGCACTTCTCTATTTCAATAAAAGTTGTTCTATATCATCTCCTCTATCTTTTGATGATGTTTGGTTGTTTATTTCACCATGATTAGTGAGTAGTTCCCTTTAGGGCTTAAGATGGGATAGGTTAGAGGTTGTTTATGCTTAATCCTTCTTGCTTATGTTCTTAATCTAGAAATCTCTCTCTTTTGGACAAACCTTAAGGCTACATGACCACTATCCCTGGCTTGTATGTCCATAGGCGATTCTCCACATGGAAGTGATGGAAATCGTTGGAAAGGTCCACTAAGAGCTCCAATATCTCTTGCTCTAGAAATGGAGTTCTAGGGGTTGGATGGATTAGTTTGAGCAATGATCCTATGGCCTCCAAGGCTTGATTCTCACTGGCTAACCCCCTGTTTCTGAGATCAAGTCTTGGTTGATAGCTTTCACCTTGGGAAAGGGTTAGCTAGGCATTGAGAAGCTCAATATCAAGAGATACCTTGATACAAGTTGTTTAAGAGCAAGACTGATTAAGTATAGCCTCCCTTTAGCTGCAAAACCCTGTCTTTAACCCTAATCTTCGCATTAGCATCTTAAAGTTTGCACCTTTATCGCTTTTCATTGCTTTCCTCTGTTTTTACACCAACTCGACCCTCAACTCGATCGAGCTCATCAACTCGATCGAGCTCTTGGTCGAGCTGCTTTTATTTACTGCTTTTGCTTGCATTTCATTTCATATTAGGTTGTTTAGTTGTTACATCCCTCCTTTTAATCATTTGGCTTGACTTTCTTGTGTTTGCATATTCTCATAGAGCAACATCTCACCCTTATGGATTGATAACCTCTTATACTTCAATGGAATTGATTGATTGTGATTGCACCATACCATCTCATCTCTATTCACCCCTGTTTGCATTCCACCTCATTTCATATCTATCACATCACACACAAATCCTATCATCAGTCCCTCTATGCTCCTTGTGTCCCATATGCTCCAGAATGCTCCAAAAGACCTATTTCAAAGGACCAAACATGCATATGTATGCAAATGCAACCTAAAACTAACATGAATGCATAAGAAGAGAAAAAGAACAAGAAATGATGCAAATGAAAGATAAAACTATGCAAAAGATGCATAAAAGATGTGCTAAAACGATGTAAAATGCAAGTACATCATGTACTCTCATAATGCTCTCCATAGCACTCAGTTGATATGGCCATGTTCTCCACAAGCTGCCAGCCATCATCCTACATCCTGTTATAGGCAATCTCCTCTATAGTGAAGAATCCATGTGTGGGCACTGACTTGTGTAGCCTTTGAACCTCTCCCAAGCCTCAGCGAATGTCTCATTGTTTCGCTGATGAAGCTGATATCTCTCCTCTAAGCTTGGCTGTGCGACCGGTGGAGAAAAACTTAGCAAGAAAGGCCTTCTTGCATTCATCCCAAGTGGTGATTGTGCCATGGGGCAAGCTCTTCTCCCATTGGTGAGCTTTGTCAGCTAGAGACATAGGAAAGAGTCTCAGCTTGATGGCATCTTCAGAGACACCATTGATCTTTGTCAAATCACAAAGCCTATCAAACTCATCAAGGTGGTCAATGGGGTCTTCACTTGGCAATCCATGGAACATCTTGTTCTGAACAAGGTTGATCATTCCCAGCTTGATCTCAAAGTTGTGGTTCTGCACTGGTGGTGGAACAATCCCTTGTCTCTGTTGGTGGCGGTTTGGAGCATCTCCTAGACCAATCGGTCGAGTTTGCCTAGCTCGACCGAGTCCATTGCCCAAAGGGTTTCCATTCCCCTCTGGTACGTCCATTGTATCAGCAACAAGCACCTCAGGTTCCTCTTGTACCCTCTGTGACCTCTGAACCTCTTTCTACCCGTTGTGAAGTCTAGCTCGACCAAGTCTTCTGTAGACCGACTCGATCGAGTTCGCATACACCTGCAAAAAGAGACAAAAACCCAGCAGTACAAAGAACAGGGGTGGTATAGCTTGATCGTCCAAGTGTATTTGAAACTCAAATGCAACAAAATAACCCAAATCGGCAACGGCGCCAAATTGATGATAGGATTTGTGTGTGGTGTGAAAATATGAAATGAGATGTGGTGGAATGCAACAGTGGTATATGATGAGGTGGTAAGATGCAAACACAAACACAGTCAACAATTCCCTTTAACCATCATAGTCAGTTATAGCATAAAGGGTTATCAATCCAAAATGGGGAAGTTGTCACTCTATGAGAATATGAAACAACAAGGAAGTCAAGCAAGCAGTAAAGATATGGGGTAACACTAACAACCTAAATGAAACAGAAATGAAATGCAGTAAGTAAATAAAGCAGTAGAGCAACAGCTCGACCAAGGACTCGAGTCGAGTGGAACAGAGTACCGAGCTCGATCGAGTTTAGGGTCGAGTTGAGTAAAAAGCATAAAGGCAGCGACTTTAACAAGCTAATGCGAGAATTAGGGTTCAAGACAGGGTTTACAATCAGAGGAAGCTATACTTAATCAATCTTGCTCTTAAAACTTGTATCAAGGTTCTCTTGATATTGAGCTTCTCAATGCCTAGCTAACCCTTTCCCAAGGTGAAAGCTATCAACCAAGGAATGATCTCAGAAACAGGGGGTTAGCCAGTGAGAATCAAGCCTTGGAGGCCATAGGATCATTGCCTCAAACTAATCCATCCAACCCCTATGAACTCCATTTCGAGAGCAAGAGTTATTGGAGCTCTTAGTGGACCTTTTCCAGCGATTTCCATCACTTCCATGTGGAGAATCGCCTAATGGACATACAAGCCAGGGGTAGTGGTCATGTAGCCTTAAGATTATCCAAAAGAGAGAGATCTAGATTAAGACCATAAGCAAGAAGGATTAAGCATAAAACCTCTAATCTATCCCATCTCAAACCCTAATGGGTAACTACTCACTACACATGAATGTAAACACAAGCAAATGCAATGAAAAGAACATCAAAGAAAGAGGAGATAAAATAAACAACTTTTATTGAAATAAGCAAGTGCAAATACAAAAGAGATTATCCAGGATCTAGGATTCAAGAAGCAAGAGCTTCAAGAACACAAAGATGGGATTAGAGCTCTAAAAAGTAAAAGACAATAAATTAAAAGAAACTAAAACAAAAGTAATCTAAAGCTTGGTGGTTTTTTCGTGGCTTAGAGCCTTTAAATACAAGAGGATTAGGTTTAGGGTCAAAGGAAAGTCAAGGGGGAAGCAACATTTTTCGGGTTTGACTTTGACTTCTCAGCTCGATCGAGTTGAAGCTTGGCCGGTCGAGTTGAGGAACTCGACCGGTTGGTCGAGTAGGTGGTCGAGCTGGTCTTCAAGATGGCTTCCTCCTTCTTCCTTTGCGTATCCAGTTGAGCTGCGTCCATGCCAAGTCCTCCATGCTCCTCATGTCCCATATGCTCCAGAATGCTCCAAAAGACCTATTTCAAAGGACCAAACATGCATATGTATGCAAATGCAACCTAAAACTACTATGAATGCATAAGAAGAGAAAAGGAACAAGATATGATGCTAATGGATGCTAAAACTATGCAAAAGATGCATAAAAGATGTACTAAAACTATGTAAAATGCAAGTACATCAACACCCCCAAACTTGAACTTTGCTTGCCCTCAAGCAAACAAATAGAACAGAGATGAGGTTTGAAAACAGCTGATTCAACACTTAAAAACATGTCCTCAAAAGCGATTTGCTAAATGTCCAACTTAGAGATTCTAGAATGCAACAAGGTGAGAGATATTCATTAAGATTTAACCATGCTTATCAACATCAATCCCACTTCACAGTCACTCAAACAATGCATTCAAATCAGCAAATCCCTTTAACATTCATTAAGCAAAAACAGTGAACCAAAAACATGCAAGATCAATCAACTCATTTGGTTTCAAGGGTTTATGGGTTAAGAGACAAAGAGGGTCTCTTTTGTATGGTGGTTTAGTAACAGGGATCTCTCAAGAAAGTGGCTTTGCTTTGGCAGAAGGCTAAGTGTTAGAACCAAAGATGATGCAAGAACAGCAGCTCGAGCCGTCTAATCCTAACTCGATCGAGTTCAACACTTAGAGCTTTTTAGAACAAAATCCTAACTACCCTTTTTGGCATTTCGCCTTTGAAACTGAGGAGCTTTGCTCACTTTTCTTTTAAGAACTTCCTAGGGAGAGGCTTCTTGAGGTAACATCTAGCGGTTTGGGATTTTCTAAACACTTAGGGAACTTTTCTTTCTTTTTGACACTTGAGGCTTTGCCTTCTTTTCATTCTACTTAGAACCCTTTTTACTTTCCTTTTTTAACTTCCCAAACCTTTACTAGACCCTTTTTAACACTGCCAACTCCCTGGACTTAACTAAACTCTTTTTCCTTTGGATTTTCCCAACTTTTTACCACTTTTCTGGTTTTTACACCCAAATAGTAGCATTCAGGCTCACCAGCATCCTGACGTTGTCCTCAACTCGTCTTCAGCTTGTCTTCAGCTCGATCCTCAGCTCGATCGAGCTCAGGCTCCTCTTCTCGCAAATCGCTCATGCCCAACTAAGTGTACACAGGGGGTCTGAAGTCAATGTTCTCACCCCTACCTGTGGTGAGCTCAGGGTTGGGCAGGAGAAGCTTGGAGGGTCCAGCCAATGGATGTGTGAACTTGAATTGGAATCCCATCCAACTCCTTGTGCTCAATGAGGAGGTTGGTCTTGCAAAACTTGATGTCCATCCAACCTGGAGTAGACCTTCTCTTGTTTAACTCCAGCTGCACAAAGATAGGTGTGATGACCCTCCAACACTAAGCTTCTTCCTCTTTGATGCCTAGTGTTGTAAGCTGTGTCTTGTAGGAGAGGAGCTGTCAAGGAGAGAGCTGGCAAAGGATGAGTTCCCTGTGTGTGCTCTATCTCCTCTGATCCTCTTCCATCCTTGTGCGTGAGATGATGGGCTTGATTCCCATGGTAAGGAGCTTCCTTCTCCTCATTGATTGTCCCGTGGCTTTCCTTGCAAAGAAGGTGTTGGCAAGTGCCTTGTGCACATATCTCAAGCACTGGGCTCCTGATCTGAGCAGCCTTGGACCTTGAGGAAGAGTACTCCCTCAGCGATTGTAGCCCAAACTCTTTGGAGTTCTTTCCTTGATGTTCCACTTTCCTCTCCATAGTGAACCCAAACAGTATCTCCAAGCTGCCTAAAGGTCACCATCTCTTCTCTCCCTTTGCCAAGAACGTGATCCATCCCAGCCTTGGTCCAATCAGCTCGATCGAGCTCTTTACTCATGTGGTACCTCATTGAAGCCAAAAACTCACAAGTGAGCTCCTTGTAAGACTCCATGCGGTGAGAGAAGAACTTGGCCAAGTGCATGTTCTTGAGCACCAACTCCACATCCTCAAAGATTCCAAGGGCCTCATGTGTCATCATGTGGGTACTTGGTCTCCACAAAGTCCATGGAGAAGAGAGCATTGTAGTGCTCTTGGTACATGGGGAGCTCATCCTCCTCTTGCTCTCCTCAGCATCCTCCATCTGCTCATCTTGGTTATCCTCACCATCTTCCACTTGGAGACCATCACTTTCTTCCTCCTTGGTTTTGACCCCAATTTCAAACTCTCCTTGCTTCACTCTCACTACTATGGGTCATTCCTCTTCTTGGTTCTCCTTTCTTCCCTCAGCCTCTCACTCTCAGACTTCCTCAGAGTAGACATACCTCTGCATCAGATCTTCCATCCTCTGATCATCTTTCAAATCGGCTTGCATCTTAAGCCTTCTCTTTTTGCATTGCTTGATCTCACCCTCAACCATTCTCCTCTGTGAAGCGGCTTCCCTCACTGTTTGTCATCTTGTTACACTGTTTCTTCACTAAAGTACCTGAAATGCATCAAAGATTACAAAGAATTAGAGTTGTAATGATCGGTTTGGTCAACTCGACACTCAGCTCGATCGAGTCAAAAAACTCGAGTGACAAACTCGATCGAGCTAGGTGAAAACAGAGTATAACCAAACCTAATTCAAGTATTAAGAGCTGGAAAGGATGCTAATCAATCAAATTGAACCAAGAACAACTAGTAAATGGAACAATGAGCAATTCTAGTGAAAACAAGCATCTTAACCAATACCAAACTCAAATTCAATTTTAAGCACATGCAACAAGTTTAAAGGCAAAACAGAGGTGAGGTGAAACAAATAACAAGATATATAGCAGAGGCGAAATATGAAGCAATTACAAGAACAAGTCCACAAGGGACACATGCAATCAAAAATCAAGAGAAAACAAGCAATAGAGGAATCGAGATGAAGGATAGGGTTTTAGGGTTCATACCTTGTTGAATGATGAATTGAAGACAGTAAACTAGAACCCAAGCAAAACAAGAGAGAACAATGAAATCGCAAAAACTTAAGAGAAAGATTGAAATTCGTTTCTTGTGGTGAAGAGAGAGAGAGAGAGAGTTTCAGAAAAAGAGTGTGGGAGAGAGAGTGGATTCGATCGAGTTATGGGGAAGAGGGTGTTTGAGATGTGTGGTTGAGATTAAAAGATGAAATAAAGAGGGAACAAGAAGCTAGGGATTCTCTGATCAAATTAGGGTAGTGGGGGACCAAAATCAGCTTGTGGGACCCACTCCCTTGACCAAGAAAACGGTTATGAATTTGAAATTCAAAAACTTACCTCGGTCGAGTTGTGGAACTCGATCGAGTTGCCCTGGTTTCTAGCTCGATCGAGCTGTCGGTCGAGCTGGCTCCTTGACACCTAAACTTAACTTATTCAAAGGTTAAAACACAAAATAGATAGAAATTGCATAAATAGAATATGTACAAGGATAAACATGGGACTTCCTCCCAAGTGAGCTTGTTTAAGGTCCCATAGCTTGACCTTTACCTTTTAGGCATTGGTTGAGCTAGTCCCACCATCAAGGGTGATAGTGAGGACTTGAGACAGAAGCTCCTTTAGCTTGGTTGGGTCCCTGGACTGTTCTGAAGTCACCAAGGCCTTGGCTCTAGAGAATGGCCTTGATCTCCCCTTGTACCTTATCTTGTACTCAATCTTCCCATTTTCAAACTTGGTGGGGAACAAAGTCATTGTGAGCTGAGATGGCTTGACTGAAGGGGCCTGAGCTGGTGGATCCTTTCTTTTATCCCTGGTCTTGCCTTAGAGGCTACATCCTCCCCTTCTTTTAGAGCCCTTCCTAGTGGCTCATCAAACAAAGCTTGAAGGCTCTCTTCATCAAGCACACAAGGGGCTTGAACAAGTCGATCAGCTCGTGGTCTATCAGAACGTGGTTTCTCAACTCTAGCCCTCTCAAGACGTGGCTTCTCAATCCTTGGTCCTCTCTCATCCTTATCCTTCCCAACTCTTGGTTCCTTGTCAACCCTTTCCTTCACAACCTTTGTAGCTCCATGACTCTTAGAACTGAGAGTGGTACTGTCAATTGTGGCACAAAAGTCTGAACCTCTAGGCTGCAAGCGATATGACACCAAACTATTCACCTTGTGAAGGATCACTTCTTGCTTGTGAAAGTCTATTGAAGCGCCAACTGTACTAAGGAAAGGGGTTCCCAATAACAGAGGTAAATCCTTCTCTTCTTCCATTTCCATCACAGTGAGATCAGTTTGGATGATGCATTCTCCAATTTTCAAGTGATAGTTCTTGAACACTCCAAGAGGAGACTTAGAAGTTGCATCTCCAAACATGATTGAAGTAGTAGGGCGCTGCAAGGCTCCAGCAATGCCTAGCTTCTCTGCCATGGAGAGAGAGATCAGATTGATGCTTGCTCCAGAATCCACTAAGGCATTGTCAATCTCAAGATGCCCAAGTGTGCAAGGGAGAGTGAATTTCCCTTGATCCTTGACCTTTGGTAGGAAGGTGGGTGAAGTAAGCAGGTTGAACTGATGAGTAGACTCTTGTAGGACCTCTGAAACTTTATCACTGTTGGCTAGAACATCCTTGACCATTTGCATTTGATCAAATGCCTCACTCATGCTATCCATAGGAGGCAACTCAATTCCAATCCCACTGAGATCTCTTCTGAACTTGTGAATCACTTCCTTGTGACCTTGACTAAGTAGGCGAGACGAGGAAGCGGCAACCGGTTGGTAAGGATCAAGCAAAACAGGCTGTCGGACAGAAGAGGTCGGACTCGATCGAGCTAGAGTTGGACTCGATCGAGCTGCCGATCGAGCTTGTCGTGCGAGCTCAACTGGTGAAGTGTGAATGGCCACAGTAGGTGCATGCACTTCTGGTTGATCAATCTGGACTCCAGGAGCCTCAGCAGCAACAATCTCTTCATCATTCAGCAGTAAACAAAAATCTTCAATGACCCTTTCTTGATCCTCTTCTTCAACAAGTCCTTCTTGAGTGAAGATGACCTTGCACTGTTCCTTGGGGTTCTGAATAGCTTTACCAGGTAGTTGTCCTTGCTTTGTAGCAGCAGCAACAGAAGAAGCATGATTCTCCAGAGAGTAAACCCTTGTGTTGAGGTTCTCGATCTTAGAGTTTATTTCAGCTAGCTTCTTGCTTGTGTCCACTACCCCATCAGCTTGCCCTTGAAGTAGTTGCTTTAGCATTGCCTTGAGCTCATTCTCTTGTGAAGGTGCAGGCTGGGGCGGTTGGTGGGGGAAGCCTGGTGGGATATTCATTTGTTGTCCAGGGAAAGTGCCTTGTGGTCCTTGGTAATTGTTCTTTTGACCATACCCATGTTGTGGCACCTGACTCGATCGAGCTGCTTGTTGTTGAGGATATACTTGGTCCTGAGGGTTAGCAACATCAGTGTTGCGGTATGACATGGCAGGGTTGGACTTGTAATTATAGTATCCTTTGTTGTAACCTCCTTGCCCATTGCTCATGTAGCACACCTCAGCAAATTGTGTATCCTCCCCTTCTTGGACTGGTTCCATCTCCTCAGCAGACACAAAGTTGACTTTCTTCATTGTGGACTGAGCTAGGATCAGCTTATCCAACTTCTCATTCAATGCCTTAACATCTTTTCTCAACTTTTCGTCTGACTCGATCGAGTGGTGGGTCGAGCTCCGGTTGGTGCGATCATACTCTTCTCCATAGCTTCCATTTGAGTTAGCTATGTTCTCCACAAGTTGCCAGCCATCATCTACATCCTGGTTGAGGAAGTTCCCATTGCTAGCTGTGTCTAGCATCTCCCTATACCTAGGCAAGCATCCTCTATAAAGAGTGGAGAGTAGTGATTCATTGTTGAATCCATGGTGTGGGCACTGACTTGTGTAGCCTTTGAACCTCTCCCAAGCCTCTGCGAATGTCTCATTGTTTCGCTGGATGAAGCTGGATATCTCTCCTCTAAGCTTGGCTGTGCGACCGGTGGAGAAAAACTTAGCAAGAAAGGCCTTCTTGCATTCATCCCAAGTGGTGATTGTGCCATGGGGCAAGCTCTTCTCCCATTGGTGAGCTTTGTCAGCTAGAGACATAGGAAAGAGTCTCAGCTTGATGGCATCTTCAGAGACACCATTGATCTTTGTCAAATCACAAAGCCTATCAAACTCATCAAGGTGGTCAATGGGGTCTTCACTTGGCAATCCATGAAACATTAATGTACTTGCATTTTACATAGTTTTAGCACATCTTTTATGCATCTTTTGATTAACATCATAGCTTGGGAGAGGTTCAAAGGGTCCGACCACTTGCATCTTTTACTTGTCCAACTCTAGCTCGATCGAGTCCGACCTCTTCCGTCCCAAAACCAATTTTGCTTGATCCTTACCAACCGGTTGCCGCTTCTTGTCTCGCCTACTTAGTCAAGGTCACAAGGAAGTGATTCACAAGTTCAGAAGAGATCTCAGTGGGATTGGAATTGAGTTGCCTCCTATGGATAGCATGAGTGAGGCATTTGATCAAATGCAAATGGTCAAGGATGTTCTAGCCAACAGTGTTGTATCATTGATGCGGAGTCAGGTTTTACCAAACTCCTAGACCTCTGCAAGTGCACAGATCGCGGAAGTATGGGTATCGAACACAAGGACTGGCTATTGAGTACACTTTGAACTATGGATTTTGGATCAAGCTAAAACAAAAGTATGATTGAGGTTGTAATGGTGAACCGAACTAGCAAGTATAACGAGGTTGTAAACAATAAAGGAAAAGCGCTAGGTCATAGGGGCTATCGCAGAGAAGCAAGCAATGATCAATGAAACAATGATAGATTAATTGATTAGGGATATTGGGATATTAAGAACCATCTAGAACACAGATCACGAATATAAAACCATTCCACTTTCGAGGCTCCGGCTCCTTTGCTAATCTACCTAGTCGCTAAACTTTTGGTATGTCCCTAGGTGATTAGATCAAGCATTAGAATGAATAGGTTCTGATACAGTTCACTAGATATAGATAGATCAACTTTCGCAGTCTAAGAAACCTAGCTTGTCAAAGAATATGTCCGGCGAATGATACAGCACTGTCGAGGCTCAAATCAACCTAAGATCGGATTACTAGATGCGCGGTAAAGCAATCAGCATTAGTTAAGTGCACAAGACGAGACAAAGACTCTAATATAATCCCTAGCTAATCATTGAAATCAAAGATCATGCAAGCAACTCATTGAATAGTAACCCTAGCAACCTAACTAGTGGATTACTCAGACATGATCAAAGCAAACACACATAGAGATGAAGAAAACATGATTGCAATAAAACTTAGAGTAGGAAATCGAAATACAGGGCGGCTCTCTTTCTCAAGAGGCTAAAAATCCATATATATAGTGCTAGGTCTTTCTAGAGGCGGCTTAGGGTTAAGCCGGGCTTGAAAACATAAGTTTGGGCTTCAAAAAGGGCTTCGGGTCGACCGCGGCGTTGGGACGGTCGGTCGGGACGATCGGCCGGACAGTCGGGTCGTGGGCGAGTCGGAACGGTCGGGGTCGGACGGATTGGTCGGCCGGCGTGGTCGACGGATGAGATTTGGCCGATGTTTCTCGGCCGGACGTGGGACGTTCTTTCCCGGCTCGGACGGATGCATCGGCCGTGGTACGCGGAACGGGTTGCGCGGCCGCGAGGCCTTGTTTCCCGGCTCGCGCGCTTTGGTCGTGCGCGGGTGGCGTGAGCGTTTGGCTTGGCCGACCGCGGGACAATGTTTCCCGGGTCGCGTTGCGTGATCGGCCGGTCGGTTTGGACTTTGGCCGAGACTTCAGTCGGACGGACATGACTTTGGCCGAGCGCGAACATAGTTTCTCGGCCAGCCGGACTGCGCGGTTGGGCGCTGTTTCTCGATAGAGCCGTCTGGACAGTCTCCACTCTTTTGGTTATAACTCCTTTTCTACTCATCCAAATGATGCCATTCCAATTGCGTTGGAAAGTTAACTCAATCAGAGCACGCAGGGAACTGGTCTTGATGAAATCCATTGAGTAGATCTTTTTCTGGGCCCTCTTAAAGTTGGTGCTTGTGCATGGAGCTGCTTGAAGTGCAAATCCTATGGTTTTGCTCCAAAATGCATCATTTCACCTGTTTAGACTCTAGACACTATAAACACAGTAAAACTACCTTTTTAGATAGAAAACCTGCCAAAAACCATTAGAAAACAATGCTAAAACAGTATAAAAAGTGGGTAAATTAGAGGTATATCAATCATTCGCCGGACATATTCTTTGACAAGCTAGGTTTCTTAGACTGCGAAAGTTGATCTACATATATCTAGTGAACTGTATCAGAACCTATTCATTCTAAAGCTTGATCTAATCACCTAGGGACATACCAAAAGTTTAGCGACTAGGTAGATTAGCAAAGGAGCCGGAGCCTCGAAAGTGGAATGGTTTTATATTCGTGATCTGTGTTTTAGATGGTTCTTAATATCCCAATATCCATAATCAATTAATCTATCATTGTTTCATTGATCATTGCTTGCTTCTCTGCGATAGCCCCTATGACCTAGCGCTTTCCCCTTATTGATTTACAACCTCGTTTACTTGCTAGTTCTGTTCACCATTACAACCTCAATCATACTTTTGTTTTAGCTTGATCCGAAATCCATAGATTCAAAGTGTACTTAATAGCCAGTCCTTGTGTTCGATACCCATACTTCCGCGATCTGTGCACTTGCAGAGGTCTAGGAGTTTGGTAAAACCTGACTCCGCATCATCAAGCTTCCAATCCCAAAGCTACCACAGATCTCCATCTCGGTTAACAAGGGATTCTCGTCAGGTGTATCAGAGAGAACTGATAGAGAGAAGTAAAGACGTCCGCTACCCATCAGGAGATATCCGTCTTTCGATGGCTTCTTCTAGAACGCATACCCAGGTCACCCCACGAAGAAGGGAATCCCATGGAGTACAACAAGAGCCTCCTAGATGGGTAGAAAAATTCAGACCAAACTCGCAGGAGCGTACTAGTGGAGACTATGACCCTACTATTAGGGAAATAGCAAGACAAAGAAGACCCCCGTTAGATAAGGAACGCACACCTGAGCCAAATCAGGAATGCCTGCCCAGAGCGGCTCTCAACAAGGCACTTGGAGAAATAAGAGAAGTGATGCTACAATACTCGTCTTGTGCGGACCCTTTGGAAAGTGCAGCTCGTAGAGAACGTCTTAGACAAGCCTAAGCAAAAGGCCAATTAGAAGAATCAGCCGCTCAAATGGTCAGGGCGTCCTTAGCTACCCAAGCGGCAGCCGCTTCTTTAACCAGAACTCTACCTAATCCAGAAGGTCGATCGTAGGACAGAGTTCCGGCTTCCCAGAGATTAGGAGCCAGTTTCCTACCTGTTACACAAGATACAGAGGCAGATGCAACGTTAGGACAAAATTCTAATCTAGGAAAGAGAAAGCGTGGCAGACCGGCTGGACGCAAAACGGCTACAAAAGCTTCTAGTACCTTACAAGGCAGCTCCTCCCATAAACGGAGAGTTTTCAACGCTACAGCCTCCCCCAGGATGAGAGGTGCCTCTGCTTCACCAAAAGCTGTGAGAAGTGTCACATATCCCCTATCTAAAGCCTCGGGAGCAAGGGAAAGTAGAACATCTCGTCAAGCTGGCTCCACGTCAGTATAATTACCTGCACAAGCGAGAATAATACCAGTAGTAAGAAGACGACGGATTTTCACAAGCCGTCTTCTCTTCTTCCTTAAAAATTCTCAGCAGGAACTGCCAAGGAGTGGGGAGTCCTTGGACAGTTCATCGTCTCAATGAAGTGAAAAAAAAAAAGACCCTGATGTTATTTTCTTATCTGAGACAAGGAACCCGGATGTTGTGGTGTTGAATAAAGTTGAATCCTTAGGCTACCACAATCATGCTTTTGTATCTCCACACGGATCTGCCGGTGGAGGTTTAGCTCTTATCTGGAAACAAGAAATCCAACTTAACGTTATCTCTTCTTGTATCAACTACTTTGATACTCGTATTACCTATGAAGGCAATACCTTCTATGCTACCTTTGTCTATGGTGATCCGGATAAAGCCACTCAGAGAGGAATGTGGGAATATCTGAACTCTCTAAACCAAATCAGGGAAGCTCCAGGGTTCCTGACATGAGACTTTAATGATATTATTGATAATTCAGAAAAAGAACGAGGAATAATTCGAGCGGAAGGAACTGATGTACTTGCATTTTACATAGTTTTAGCACATCTTTTATGCATCTTTTGCATAGTTTTAGCTTCCATTTGCATCATATCTTGTTCCTTTTCTCTTCTTATGCATTCATGTTAGTTTTAGGTTGCATTTGCATACATATGCATGTTTGGTCCTTTGAAATAGGTCTTTTGGAGCATTCTGGAGCATATGGGACATAAGGAGCATGGAGGGACTTGGCACATGGAAGCAGCTCAACTGGATACGCAAAGGAAGAAGGGAGAAGCCATCTTGAAGACCAGCTCGACCGTCTACTCGACCAACCGGTCGAGTTCCTCAACTCGACCGGCCAAGCTTCAACTCGATCGAGCTGAGAAGTCAACAGTCAAACCCGAAAAATGTTGCTTCCCCCTTGACTTTCCTTTGACCCTAAACCTAATCCTCTTGTATTTAAAGGCTCTAAGCCACGAAAAAACCACCAAGCTTTAGATTATTTTGTTTTAGTTTCTTTTAATTTATTGTCTTTTACTTTTTAGAATCTAATCCCATCTTTGTGTTCTTGAAGCTCTTGCTTCTTGAATCCTAGATCCTGGATTATCTTCTTTGTATTTGCACTTGCTTATTTCAATAAAAGTTGTTTAATTTCATCTCCTCTTTCTTATGATGTCTCTTTTATTGCATTTGCTTGTGTTTACATTCATGTGTAGTGAGTAGTTACCCATTGGGGTTTGAGATGGGATAGATTAGAGGTTTCATATGCTTAATCCTTCTAGCTTATGGTCTTAATCTAGATTCTCTCTCTTTTGGATAGATCTTAAGGCTACATGACCACTACCCCTGGCTTGTAAGTCCTTAGGCGATTCCCCACACGAAAGTGATGGCATTCGCTGGAAAAGATCCACTAAGAGCTCCAATATCTCTTGCTCTAGAAATAGAGGTCTAAGGGGTTGGATGGATTAGTTTGGGCAATGATCCTATAGCCTCCAAGGTTTGATTCTCACTGGCTAACCCCCTGTTTCTGAGATCATTCCTTGGTTGATAGCCTTCACCTTGGGAAAGGGTTGGCTAGGCATTGAGAAGCCCAATATCAAGAGAAGCCTTGATACAAGGAGTTTTAAGAGCTAGATTGATTAAGTGTAGATTCCTTTGATTGCAAAACCCTGTCTTGAACCCTAATTCTCTCTTATCTTGTTAAAGTCGTCACCTTTAGCTTTGTTTGTCTCAACTCGTCCCTAAACTCGATCGAGCTGGTACTTTGTTCTGACTCGACTCGAGTCTTGGTCGAGCTGACTTCACTGCTTTGTTTACTTTTATTGCACTGCATTTCTTTTCATTTAGGTTGTTAGTGTTACTTCAAATCTTTACTGCTTGCTTGACTTCTGGTTGTTTCATATTCTCAAGAGTGACAAGTTTCCCATTTTGGATTGATAACCTCTTGTACTACATTGACTATGATGGTTAAGAGGAATTGATTGATTGTGATTGCACCATTTCATCTTATTCACCCCTGTTTGCATTCCACCTCATATCTCACTACAAGAAAACATCCATTTAGTCACTCCATTTTGCGACTCGGCCAGTCGTCGCAAAGAGTTGCCACTTGTTTGCGACTCCGTTGAGACTATATTACCACTTCAATATATTAGTCGCGAAAACGTCGCACATTTGTTACCAGACAACAATGTGGTGAAACCGTCGCAAAAGTGTAACCTTTTTGCGACTAACCTAAGACGAATTGATATTGTCGCAAAACAGTTGCTCAGTACTCACCGTTTTGCGACGCAGATGGTAGTCACAAACGAAGGGCGACTACTGTCACAAAGTTGTCAATCATAGCTACTGATTTGCGATTATATTTGAGTTATTTCTACTGTAATTTGTTGAATTTAAGCAAAATTAGCATTTAGTTGCTATTACAGATACATCGTATTTGGTTGAAATTAATACAAATTCATGATTTTCAAATTTGCAGTCGCTAATTCGTAGCTAATATGCGATCCCACTGCGACTGTATAAGAAAATATTTATAAGATTTCGACTTTAGTCGCAAAGGAGTCGCACATTATTATCATTGTGCCACATTTTTGCGACTGTGTTTTATTTATTTCATCTATAAGAGGTTTATTTAATGTTGTTTTTGTAAATGAAGATTCTCATACAATCTCATTGGTATAAATACTATAGATAAATCATAATTTGTTGAAATTAATTGAAATTCATGATTTTGAATTCAATCAAAGATGGTTTGTATATTTCTATAGGGAAAACATTTGATATTGATTGTAACATAAATTAAAAAAACTGTAATCTGTCTTTCAATCATTTAAATTTAGTGAACCTTTAGTGTATTTCACATCTTGTGCAACAAAAATAGTAATATGATCCATTTAGGGGTTAGGGCATGAGGTTAATCAATGTTTTATAAATAAAATGTATTTGCAGTCGCTAATTCGTAGCTATTGTGCGACCCCACTGCGACTGTATAAGAAAATATTTATAAGATTTCGACTTTAGTCGCAAAGGAGTGGCACATTATTATCATTGTGCCACATTTTTGCGACTGTGTTTTATTTATTTCATCTATAAGAGGTTTGTTTAATTTTGTTTTTGTAAATGAAGATTCTCATACAATCTCATTGGTATAAATACTATAGATAAATCATAATTTGTTGAAATTAATTGAAATTCATGATTTTGAATTCAATCAAAGATGGTTTGTATATTTCTATAGGGAAAACATTTGATATTGATTGTAACATAAATTAAAAAACTGTAATCTGTCTTTCAATCATTTAAATTTAGTGAATCTTTAGTGTATTTCACATCTTGTGCAACAAAAATAGCAATATGATCCATTTAGGGGTTAGGGTATGAGGTTAATCAATGTTTTATAAATAAAATGTATTTGCAGTCGCTAATTCGTAGCTATTGTGCGACCTCACTGCGACTGTATAAGAAAATATTTATAAGATTTCGACTTTAGTCGCAAAGGAGTCGCACATTATTATCATTGTGCCACATTTTTGCGACTGTGTTTTATTTATTTCATCTATAAGAGGTTTGTTTAATTTTGTTTTTGTAAATGAAGATTCTCATACAATCTCATTGGTATAAATACTATAGATAAATCATAATTTGTTGAAATTAATTGAAATTCATGATTTTGAATTCAATCAAAGATGGTTTGTATATTTCTATAGGGAAAACATTTGATATTGATTGTAACATAAATTAAAAAACTGTAATCTGTCTTTCAATCATTTAAATTTAGTGAATATTTAGTGTATTTCACATCTCGTGCAACAAAAATAGCAATATGATTCATTTAGGGGTTAGGGTATGAGGTTAATCAATGTTTTATAAAGAAAATGTATTTGCAGTCGCTAATTCGTAGCTATTGTGTGACCTCACTCCGACTGTATAAGAAAATATTTATAAGATTTCGACTTTAGTCGCAAAGGAGTCGCACATTATTATCATTGTGCCACATTTTTGCGACTGTGTTTTATTTATTTCATCTATAAGAGATTTGTTTAATTTTGTTTTTGTAAATGAAGATTGTCATACAATCTCATTGGTATAAATACTATAGATAAATCATAAATTGTTGAAATTAATTGAAATTCATGATTTTGAATTCAATCAAAGATGGTTTGTATATTTCTATAGGGAAAACATTTGTTATTGATTGTAACATAAATTAAAAAACTGTAATCTGTCTTTCAATCATTTAAATTTAGTGAATCTTTACTGTATTTCACATCTTGTGCAAAAAAAATAGCAATATGATCCATTTAGGGGTTAGGGTATGAGGTTAATCAATGTTTTATAAATAAGATGTATATGCAGTCGCTAATTTGTAGCAAATGTGCGACTTTACTGCGACTTTATTGGAAAATATGTATGAGATTTCGATGTTAGTCGCAAACCAGTCGCACGTTTTCACACGTTGTCACGGATTAGCAACTGTTATGGTGTCGCTAATTTTGCCGCTTAACATTACCAAGAATTTCACAAAATATTTTCATTAACCGCGCCTAACTCTAAATTTTTTCCCTTTCTTCCCTCTGGAAACATCGAAACCTTTCATTTTCTCTTTCTGATTCGAAAACCTCTCTATCTCGATCTCGATCTCTTCTCGATCTCTTGCATGTTCGATCTGAAACATTGAATCCTTTTCAATTTCTCGATCGATCCGTTCAATACCTCCATCTCCTCACTTTCTCTCAATCTCTCCGTCTAAAGCTTTCTCGAAATCGATCTCTCAATCTCTCGGTTTCGATTTAACCCTCTCAATCTCTCGCTTTGATTTTTCTATTTCTCGATTTCATCCACTCAATCGCCACAACTCTCATCTTCTCTTCAATGGCCGGAAAATCTCAGAGAGGTCGCGGCGCAAAAACGCCGTGATGCCGTCGTCTTCCGGAAGAACTTCATCTCACTCGTCAAACCCTAGTACCCCAACTTCAAATCTCCGCCCACTTCCTATTCAGTACGCTCACAGCCAGACCTCTGCTCCACCACCACCACCGCGTGGCTCTGCTCCACCACCACCACCGCGTGGCTCTGCTCCACAACCAACACCGCGTGGCTCTGCTCCACAACCAACACCGCGTGGCTCTGCTCCACAGCCACAACCGCTTGGCTTTACTCCACAGCCATCAGCGAGTGGCACTGCTCCACAACCACAACCATTCCGTCCCCAGCCTCTTCGTCCACAGCCATATGTTCCACCAACGTTTTCTCCACCGGCGTATGCTCAATCGCCAGTCCATATGGAGACGGACGATGAACCACCGGAGAACTATCCACTCCCGGAGGAGCCTCAAGCACCACAACAAGATCCGCCTATAAGTATTTACGACTTGCTGCGAACTCCAGGTCGTGAAGCTTATTTACCAATCTTGGACCCATGTCACACCGAAAACACAACATGGTAATCGCTATTCAAACATAGTTTTTAAATTTCTTTGTTGGTTTGTGTATAGTTCTCATCACTCAATTGAAATTGATTTGTGTTTTGTTCTTATCTTGTAGGTTTGATCGAGATGATGGGAAACTGGTTCGCAAAATCTCGAAGATTTTGAAAAGCAAGTTTGATGGTGCTTACTATTGCTGGACAAAAACGCCTAAACATGTCCAAGAGAGATGTTTCATAGCCTTTGCGGTATACTTCTTATCCGTTTATTTACCTTTAAAAACTTCAATTTTTTTAATCATATTACTTTTTATTTGTAATCATTGTATGTTTCTTTCATTTGTGAAGCAAGCGCACCATTGGGACCCCTTGATCAATTCACTTGTGGAAGATGAATTCAAGGCCATTGCTTTACTACGCATGAAAGATATGGTATGCAAAGCGAAGAAAAAAGGCGCTCGACCAAATTGGATCGGGGAAACATTGTGGAGAACAATGTGCTCTTACTGGGCCACGGAGGAGGCCAAAGAGAGGAGTTGTACTGCATCAAATGCAGTAAACTTTTTCCGAAAGATGGACTGGGAAGGCGCATACATCGGTCAGGACAAAAGTCCTATTCGCGGGTCCAAAGAGATATGGTAAGTTTTCATATATTATTTGATCATTGTCTTTTCTATTTTCTTTGCGATTTGCGTGGCTTGGAGTTTCTGATACACCATAACTTAAATTGTCTTCATTGTGTTCTCTATATGGTTAAGCGATATTGAATATGCATAGTATGACAGTGATTGCTTAGGATTTTTTTACAAAAATGCATTGTCTTAGTAATGAATGATTCAGTTTATATGGATTTGAGATGTTTTCATTTAATTTTTGATTTGATCTCTTTCTCTGAATTTTTAAACTGTGATGAAGGAAACGGAGCTTGGAAGACCTGTGTCAATTGGAGAAGTGTTCATAAGGACACATACACGGCCTGATGGGAGTTTTGTTGATCCAAAGTCTCAGAATATTGCTGAAGCGTATGAAAAAAACTTAGAGGATTCGATGTCTCAGCTCATGGATGACACGTCTGATTGTTCTTCTGAGCTTACCACAGCTGCAAAAGACGATGTCTTCCTCAAGGTCAGTCTGTTTAGTTTATGTATGTGATGTGTGAAATTTGTTTGTGAAACCGAAAGGAACCCTTGACAAGTTAAGATGGTAACTTTGAGACTTGTTCAAAGCAACTCTCGTTCTTCTCTCGTTTTTATGATATTAATCTTACATGCATTTGCTCTTGGTGAAAACTTAAATCTCTTTAGTTTCCGTTAGTTTCTGCACAATAATCTCCTTTGAGCTATAGTCTTAGATTCAATTCTCTTACACTTGTTACTTTCTTAAATGTGCTTTCTTTTGTTTGCAGACTACGGATACTGATGATAGGGGCAATGAATTCGGTCTTGGTAGTCTCCGGCGTCAGTATGGAAAGGGGAAGAGGAAGGGAGGACCAGGGACCTCAGCCGTTTCTGTATTTTCCGGATTGCAAGAACAGTTGCAAGCTGCTCAACGCAAAATTGAAGTCCAGGCAGCGGCTATTGCTGCACGGGAAGTTGAATCAGCTGAGCAACTTAACCGCATCGGCAACTTAGAGATGGTCTTGAGCTATCTCAAGTCCACCGATCCTAAATTTACGGATTATGTGACACAGCAATCTACACCAGCGGCAACTCATTCACCGGGAGGAACTCCGACACCGGAAGTAACTCCGACACCAGAAGGTATGGTTTCAGGCGGTGAACCCATCTGAGTTGCTCTGTTGTTGTTATATTTTCTCAAACTCTGTTTTTGGTTTTGATGCACATGTTATTCATCAAAGAACTTATGTTGTTTTGTGAAATATATTACATTTTTAGTAGTTTATAAATTCTCCTTTCTCATCCTTTTCAACTAATAATTTTATAAATCAAATTGAAAACTAAAACAAGAATAATTATAAACAACAAATTAGCAACTACAAATTCAATCAAATCGCATAATGGTCACACCTATTTACCACTATTTTGCGACTAATTGTATTAAATTATCGTTGCAAAAGAGTCGTACAATTTAGTCACACTTTTGCGACGACAGCGCAATTAGTCTTTAATCAGTCCCAACGCTTAACGACTGGATTACGACTACTTTGTCACTAACAAGGAAGTCTCAAACTCGTCGCAAAAGTTTGCGACTTCATTGCGACAAGGTTAGCCACTGTTTTGAAACTACATATATTCGTCGTTATATTAAATGAGGAGTCTCTCTGCAGTCGCAAAACTAAGACTAAAAGGTTAGTCGCACTTTCGTTTCAAATTTGCGACTACGAGGCGACTACGACGTTTTGCGACGAGCGATTTGCGACTCCTTGTTGTAGTCGCGTACTAGTTTCAAAACGTTTGATTGCGACTACTTTGCAACATTTAGTGTAGTGGCTACATCGATGTTTTCTTGTAGTGTCATATCATCCTTCATTCATATCATATCACATCCACGCGCAATCCTATCATCAATTTGGCGCCGTTGCCGATTTGGGAATATTTTTGTTGCATTTGAGTTTCAAACACACTTGGACGATCAAGCTATACCACCCCTGTTCTATTGTACTGCTGGGTTTTTGTCTCTTTTTGCAGGTGTATGCGAACTCGATCGAGTCGGTCTACAGAGGACTTGGTCGAGCTAGATTACAACGGGTAGAAAGAGGGTTCAGAGGTCACAGAGGGTACAAGAGGAACCTGAGGTGCTTGTTGCTGATACAATGGATGTACCAGAGGGGAATGGAAACCCTTTGGGCAATGGACTCGGTCGAGCTAGGCAAACTCGACCGATTGGTCAAGGAGATGCTCCAAACCGCCACCAACAGAGACAAGGGATTGTTCCACCACCAGTGCAGAACCACAACTTTGAGATCAAGCTGGGAATGATCAACCTTGTCCAGAACAAGATGTTCCATGGATTGCCAAGTGAAGACCCCATTGACCACCTTGATGAGTTTGATAGGCTTTGTGATTTGACAAAGATCAATGGTGTCTCTGAAGATGCCATCAAGCTGAGACTCTTTCCTATGTCTCTAGCTGACAAAGCTCACCAATGGGAGAAGAGCTTGCCCCATGGCACAATCACCACTTGGGATGAATGCAAGAAGGCCTTTCTTGCTAAGTTTTTCTCCACCGGTCGCACAGCCAAGCTTAGAGGAGAGATATCCAGCTTCATCCAGCGAAACAATGAGACATTCGCAGAGGCTTGGGAGAGGTTCAAAGGCTACACAAGTCAGTGCCCACACCATGGATTCAACAATGAATCCTACTCTCCACTCTTTATAGAGGATGCTTGCCTAGGTATAGGGAGATGCTAGACACAGCTAGCAATGGGAACTTCCTCAACCAGGATGTAGATGATGGCTGGCAACTTGTGGAGAACATAGCTAACTCAAATGGAAGCTATGGAGAAGAGTATGATCGCACCAACCGGAGCTCGACCCACCACTCGATCGAGTCAGACGAAAAGTTGAGAAAAGATGTTAAGGCATTGAATGAGAAGTTGGATAAGCTGATCCTAGCTCAGTCCACAATGAAGAAAGTCAACTTTGTGTCTGCTGAGGAGATGGAACCAGTCCAAGAAGGGGAGGATACACAATTTGCTGAGGTGTGCTACATGAGCAATGGGCAAGGAGGTTACAACAAAGGATACTATAATTACAAGTCCAACCCTGCCATGTCATACCGCAACACTGATGTTGCTAACCCTCAGGACCAAGTATATCCTCAACAACAAGCAGCTCGATCGAGTCAGGTGCCACAACATGGGTATGGTCAAAAGAACAATTACCAAGGACCACAAGGCACTTTCCCTGGACAACAAATGAATATCCCACCAGGCTTCCCCCACCAACCGCCCCAGCCTGCACCTTCACAAGAGAATGAGCTCAAGGCAATGCTAAAGCAACTACTTCAAGGGCAAGCTGATGGGGTAGTGGACACAAGCAAGAAGCTAGCTGAAATAAACTCTAAGATCGAGAACCTCAACACAAGGGTTTACTCTCTGGAGAATCATGCTTCTTCTGTTGCTGCTGCTACAAAGCAAGGACAACTACCTGGTAAAGCTATTCAGAACCCCAAGGAACAGTGCAAGGTCATCTTCACTCAAGAAGGACTTGTTGAAGAAGAGGATCAAGAAAGGGTCATTGAAGATTTTTGTTTACTGCTGAATGATGAAGAGATTGTTGCTGCTGAGGCTCCTGGAGTCCAGATTGATCAACCAGAAGTGCATGCACCTACTGTGGCCATTCACACTTCACCAGTTGAGCTCGCACGACAAGCTCGATCGGCAGCTCGATCGAGTCCAACTCTAGCTCGATCGAGTCCGACCTCTTCTGTCCGACAGCCTGTTTTGCTTGATCCTTATCAACCGGTTGCCGCTTCCTCGTCTCGCCTACTTAGTCAAGGTCACAAGGAAGTGATTCACAAGTTCAGAAGAGATCTCAGTGGGATTGGAATTGAGTTGCCTCCTATGGATAGCATGAGTGAGGCATTTGATCAAATGCAAATGGTCAAGGATGTTCTAGCCAACAGTGATAAAGTTTCAGAGGTCCTACAAGAGTCTACTCATCAGTTCAACCTGCTTACTTCACCCACCTTCCTACCAAAGGTCAAGGATCAAGGGAAATTCACTCTCCCTTGCACACTTGGGCATCTTGAGATTGACAATGCCTTAGTGGATTCTGGAGCAAGCATCAATCTGATCTCTCTCTCCATGGCAGAGAAGCTAGGCATTGCTGGAGCCTTGCAGCGCCCTACTACTTCAATCATGTTTGGAGATGCAACTTCTAAGTCTCCTCTTGGAGTGTTCAAGAACTATCACTTGAAAATTGGAGAATGCATCATCCAAACTGATCTCACTGTGATGGAAATGGAAGAAGAGAAGGATTTACCTCTGTTATTGGGAACCCCTTTCCTTAGTACAGTTGGCGCTTCAATAGACTTTCACAAGCAAGAAGTGATCCTTCACAAGGTGAATAGTTTGGTGTCATATCGCTTGCAGCCTAGAGGTTCAGACTTTTGTGCCACAATTGACAGTACCACTCTCAGTTCTAAGAGTCATGGAGCTACAAAGGTTGTGAAGGAAAGGGTTGACAAGGAACCAAGAGTTGGGAAGGATAAGGATGAGAGAGGACCAAGGATTGAGAAGCCACGTCTTGAGAGGGCTAGAGTTGAGAAACCACGATCTGATAGGCCACGAGCTGATAGACTTGTTCAAGCCCCTTGTGTGCTTGATGAAGAGAGCCTTCAAGCTTTGTTTGATGAGCCACTAGGAAGGGCTCTAAAAGAAGGGGAGGATGTAGCCTCTAAGGCAAGACCAGGGATAAAAGAAAGGATCCACCAGCTCAGGCCCCTTCAGTCAAGCCATCTCAGCTCACAATGACTTTGTTCCCCACCAAGTTTGAAAATGGGAAGATTGAGTACAAGATAAGGTACAAGGGGAGATCAAGGCCATTCTCTAGAGCCAAGGCCTTGGTGACTTCAGAACAGTCCAGGGACCCAACCAAGCTAAAGGAGCTTCTGTCTCAAGTCCTCACTATCACCCTTGATGGTGGGACTAGCTCAACCAATGCCTAAGAAGGTAAAGGTCAAGCTATGGGACCTTAAACAAGCTCACTTGGGAGGAAGTCCCATGTTTATCCTTGTACATATTCTATTTATGCAATTTCTTCTAGTATTCTGTGTTTTAATCTTTGAACTAGATCTTGACCCGTGCTGCTACAGCACGGGTTGTTGTATCTTATGAACAAACATTAGAATATGATATGATAATTATTCAATTATGTGATGAAAATTAAATATTTATGGGTTGTGTGGTTAATTTTGGAGAAACATACAAAAAACCGAATTTTATGAGATAATACAATGATGAACTTGTTTGTTAAGCACACATTTGGTCGGTTTGGACATTGCACTTGCGACCGGAATTCAATGTTTTTTTGGTAACATTAACAAATAAACAAACAGAACAAAAAAAATCGTCCAAGAGAAATCGATTCCTTATTTCTCGAGTGATGATGTGAAATCCGACTTTATCTGATCCAGTGGAATGTCCGAGATGGAAAATTCGGTAAAAATAAAAACTTAAAGAGTTATCGCAGTTTGAAGTTTGGAGCGTCATGTATTCATCAACGAAGACAAATATTTTTTATATTAGCGATTTAGCATTTCCTTTACTTCAAATCACTTATATTAGTATTTGATTATTAGGAAAATCTAAATGCTCTTCATAATTAATTATGTTGAATTGACTATTTTTTCATTTGCAAAATCACTTAATTTTATTTGATTTTTTTTTCCCAATAATTTGAATCTAATGTCTTCAAAGCATGCCCTACATAATTGAGTAAGGAAGTTCGTCACAATCGGCAAAGATTCATTCCGATTAATAAGCTAGGTAATATATATATGATAATTCTAATCTCTTTTCATTTTTGATCAGATTTGTTCTTTCTTTACTCTCTCCAAAAAGACTCAGATCTAAAAGAATGTTGATTATAATCCTTGATGTTGTTAACCTTTGAATTAATTAAATTTGTAAAAATTAAGTTTCTAATATTGGATATTATATTTAAATAATGTTTGATTAAAATGTTGGTGTGACAACATATTGTCATATTAACATATGTTTCTTTATCACGGATTTGTTGTTTATTTTTTTAAAGAAAATAAGTATGTTATTTTTCTCGTTAATGAGATTAATAATTATGATTTTCATTATATTAAAGAAGATGACATTTTTTATTCATATTTATTAAACATGGTCTTTTATCTTGATATATGTTGTTGACACATGAGATTTATATGTTACACTTTTTTTTGTATTTTTATTGTCTATCTTAACTTTTATTATTATTGATTTTCTGATTTCAGGATTTTTTTTCTATACACAAAACATGTTCCTACCTATTCGGTTTTATTTTCTTCAGTCAAGAACAAAACCACATGTTCTGACCCGTTGTTTAAAAGAAATCACTGAATAACAAAAAGTATGTTCTGACTCGTGTTGTCAGCAGCGCAGGAGTTATTATTTAAAAAAAAACAAATTCGTGCAAAACAATTACTCTATTCGATACTATAATATTATAATATATAACACCTATGTTTTGTAATAAGTTTATATAGTACAATTGTTTTGCTAAAATACTTCAAAAACGTATATTATTATGATATTTTGTAGCTGAAGATATGTTAAGAAAAGTAATTCATAAGTAGAAAATTAAACATATAAAACACACTTAGAAAGATAATTCTCATTTTACATTACTTTGCTAGCTTGTAGCAGAAAGTTGAATGATAGTGGATCCTACCTATAGTTAGAACTACAAAATTTTAAAATATAAAAATCATGTTTCTTCGACACTTTTTCTAAAAGGGATTGAATCACTTCATCTTTTTTTTTTTTTTTTTTTTTGGGTGCAAATGTGAAGAATCACTTCGTCTTCTTCCTTCTTTATATGAGTTGTGCATATCTTCTTGGAACCTACATAACATGGCGTAAGTAGAATACTAGACATGTAAATCACACTTAGTAAGATATGATCATTTTACATTATTTGCTTGCAGCAGAGAGTTGAATCATGGTGGATCCTACCTATAGTTACAGGAAATAGAAATACTTCTTCTTCGTTGTTTGGATCGAGTCACTTTGTATTCTTCCTTTTTTTATATGACTTTTGCATATCTTCTTGGAACCTACATGCCATGATTGTTAGTAGAACATTAGACATGTAAACAAACTTAGAAATATAATTATAATTTTACATTACTTTGTTAGCTTTTTAGTTTACAGAATGTAAGAATTACAAAAGTCTAAAATATAAAAATCATGTTTCTTCGACACTTCTTCTAAAAGGGATCAAAACACTCTATTTTCTTCCTTCTTTGTATGAGTTGTGCGTATCTTCTTGAATCCTACGTGCCATGATCGTAAGTAGAACATTAGACATGTGAAACACACTTAAAAGTAATGATCATTTTACATTACTTTGCTTGCAGCAGAGAGTTGAATCATGGTGGATCCTACCTATGGTAAGTAGTATATACATTACTTTGCTTGCAGCAGAGAGTTGAATCAAAAATTGGTTTGCTGCTTTCTTCGGATTATGATTAATTCCTTCTTCTTTTACAACATAAGTGAAACCGATGTCAATCGCTGTGATCCATAGTTGAATTTAAGCATTTGCATATGTAAATCAGTTTGATTGGCGTTAAAATTATTATTAGAAGATTGGTCTTGCTATATATATGAATGTCTATTGTAACCATCTGAACAGAGTTTATGCTGTTGAGTGTTGACTAATATAATGTTTTTACTGTTTTTGGCAGAAAATTAGGGTCACGAGAAAGCTCTAGTAAAAAATATAGAGTTCTGGAATTATGTGGTAAGCTTTTAATAAAGATATCTCTAAATAATGTCTCAATGTTATGTCTTACAATAGTTTATCACTTGGGCTATTGTTTTTTGTATATATTTTTTTTAATGAGATGCAACCGTAGAACTGGATGGATCTTCAATGCTTAGTAAGCTGCAAAGATGAGTTACCGTATCCACATGATGATTAATGGAGTTTATCTGATGATTTAGCTACTCCGGATCCTATTCTTTGTAAGCTTCGCTTTGTCTCATGGTAAACATTGTATGATAATAGCTTTGTTTCATGGTTTGTTCAATCGTAGACTCGTTTCATTTATGCTTTGACGGTAGTTTGTTGAATGTTAAACTAATTGTTTAATAGTTTGTATGTGTTTTTCTGCTTAGAATCATGAAGCTCACTAAGTTAGTTTATTATGTATTTGGGATTTCTATGAATGTTAAACTCGTTTTAGAGAGCTTCAATGTGCTTTTCTGCTTAGAATAATGAATCTAATTAACTTAGTTTATCTTGTATTTGAGATTTCTATGAATTTTAGACTCGTTTTTAACAGCCTCTATGTGCTTTTATGGTTAAAGTTATGTAGCTTATTAACTCGTTTTTTCAAAGATCTCATGCTGAACAATGTTTGATAGTAGCTTTCTTCATGGTTTATTCAATGTTAGACTTGGTTTCTTTTAATAATAGTCTTCACAAGTAGCTCTATGAATGTTAGAGAAGTAGCTTAAAAAACTACTTGGTTTCTTTTTTCAGCAATAGACTTGGTTTGTTTTTTCAGAGCTCTCATGGTGAACAATATTGTTTGAACGTAAAACAGTGTTGGAGACGGTATCTTAAACACCACTATTTTGGTGTTTTTAATGGTTGCTTAGACAGTGTCTAATTATTAAGTTTTCGATCTTTTGGATCAAGGCCTTTGAGCAACAACGTAGAAAAGACTTTTCACTTAGCTGTGCAGGTGGAACATTCGTATGCAAGTTTCATGCTTCTACTTCTTTCACAGGTTAGACATTGTTATACTTTACGTACTGAAATGTTTTATATGAATTTCCAATAGAAAAACGTTAATAAGCCTTATCTCAGATCAAAATAAACTTGCCGAAAACCTTGAAATCAAATAACGCATATAAAGCTTCAGTTGTCTTATTCTTCTTAGTCTCCTCCTCCAATGCCTTACTCTTGCTCCATAGTCTTCCCTAATTTGATTTTGATTGTGTAAAGCTTATTTGATGTAGATCACATGAACATCTCCAACTTCTTCTTCGTTTATATTACCTAAAACGTCAAATATACTCTCAAAACAGATTTAAAAAATACTTACCTCGTCAACAGAAATAGTTGATGATGAGATGTTTACTGGATTATCTGTATATATGATATCACATTTTCAGTCGATACCCATTGATTTTCTGACCAGACCTTACCCACTTGTTTTATCCTGACAGCAAAAGTATGGTAGCATTGGTTACTTCCAGATCTCCTGCATAATTAACAAAGACATCATAGGTATGCTTGTCTAATATTTTTAAGTTAGGAATTTTGTAAGTAGTAAATACTGCGAGAAAATGTATATTGCTTACCTCTATTAAGATCGATTTTTGCAAACCTAATCAAACATTTATCAATTACTTCACCTGCTTCTTGCCAAGCTTGAAGAACTTGTTCACCAAATCTTCCCCAAAATGGAAAACATGAAGAATGTACGGTCAAACCCTATATTCAAGTACACACAGCCACAAAAGAGTTAGAGGTAATCTAATAAAGCAAAAAAAACGTAAAACGATTGCATCTGCTAGAATCATCTCCAGTCTTTTATCAAATGCAAATGTAAAACCAAATCTATTTTCTCTTTTCCTGAAAATTTTGATTGCTTTCATAGGTGCAAGGGGTCACGTTCCTGCAAAGAAAAGAGCATTAGCAATGATGCTTCTTTGTTTTCTATTGCTTGCAAATTTTTAGGGATCAAAACGATTCGAATATAAATTGTACTTCCTTGTTTGTATTTTAGTTATATCTTGCGAGTTATTAGGTTCCGTCTATTATGAAGTAATTTTCATGGCCAATTTAATAGTTTCCTTTTCTATGATATGATTGATTTTATTGTTTTCCAATATCGGTTTCTCGTCTGGTTTACCTCTGAACCGTAACTCTGATTGTTTCCGGTTGGATATAAGTGATTCTAGATCCGCGCGTTTTTAAATGGACCGGGTCGGGTCAACTCGAACTCCACTGAGTCGACTCAGTTTCTGACGAAAATTTCTTCCAAAAAACTCCCTGTTTATCCCTATATCCAAACACCTTTTCTTTGTTAGATGATTGGTTTTTTTGTAAATTTATTAATTTTCCTCCGAAAATTTTCTGACTGGAATACCCTTTTTGACTCAGTTTTAATAGTATTGATAAGTTAAGTTTAGGTGTCAAGGGAGCCAGCTCGATCGAGCTAGAAACAGGGTAACTCGATCGAGTTCCTCAACTCGACCGAGGTAAGTTTTTGAATTTAAATTTCATAACCGTTTTCTTGGTCAAGGGAGTGGGTCCCACAAGCTGATTTTGGTCCCCCACTACCCTAATTTGATCAGAAAAACCCTAGCTTCTTGTCCCCCTTTATTTCACCTTTTAATCTCAACCACACATCTCAAACACTCCCTCTTCCCCATAACTCGATCGAATCCACCTTCTCCACTCTCCCACACTTAAAATTTCTGAAACCTATCTCTCTCTCTCTTCACCACAAGAAAATTTCAAATTCCTCTCTTTCTCTCTTAAGTTTTTGCGATTTCCTCTTGTGCTTCACTGTTTTCGTTTGGGTTCTAGCTTACTGTTCTTAATTCATCACTCAAGCAAGGTATGAACCCAAGACCCTTGATTCTTCCATCTCGATTTCCATTATTGCTTGTTTCCTCTTTGATTTTGATTGCATGTGCCCCTTATGGGATTGTTCTTGAGTAATTGCTTTATTATCACTTCTCCTGCTCATATTTGTTTACCATTGTGAATTTGCCTCACCTCACCTCTGTTTTATCATTAAGAACTTGTTGCATGTGCTTGAAAAATTGAATTTGAGTTTGGTATTGGTTAAGATGCTTATGTTTTCACTAGAATTGCTCATTGTTCCATTTACTAGTTGTTCTTGGTTCAATTTGATTGATTAGCATCCTTTCCAGCTCTTAATACTTGAATTAGGTTTGGTTATACTCTGTTTCGATCGAGTTTGTCACTCGAGTTTTTTGACTCGATCGAGCTGAGTGTCGAGTTGACCAAACCGATCATTGCAACTCTAATTCTTTGTAATCTTTGATGCATTTCAGGTACTTTAGTGAAGAAACAGAGTGACAAGGATGACAAACAGTGAGGGAAGTCGTGCTTCACAGAGGAGAATGGTTGAGGGTGAATCAAGCAATGCAAGGGAAAGAAGGCTTAAGATGCAAGCCGATTTGGAGAGGATGATCAGAGGATGGAAGAGTCTGATGCAGAGGAGTATGTGTACTCTGAGGAAGAATCTGAGAGCGAAGATTGAGGGAGGAGAGGAGGACCAAGAAGAGGAATGACCCCATTAGTAGTGAGAGTGAGCAAGGGGAGTTTGAGATTGGAGTGAACCTTGTTCAAGAGGAGGGAAATGGTTCTCCAATGAAGAAGGAAGTGATGAGACTGAGAGTGAAGAGGAAGGAGAAGAGGTGAATCAGTTGGTTGAAGAAGAGTGAGCAAGAGTAACCAAGATGAACCTATGGAGGAGTTGAGCCACAAGAGCAGCCGCAAGAGGAGGAGGAAGAACTCCCTATGTACCAAGAGCATTACAATGCCCTCTTCTCCATGGACTTCATGGACACCAAGTACCCACATGTTGACACAATGAAGGCCCTTGGAATCTTTGAAGATGTGGAGCTAATTCTCAAGAACATGCACTTGGCCAAGCTTTTCTCTTATCACATGGAATCCTACAAGGAGCTCACTTGCGAGTTCTTAGCTTCAATGAGGTACCACATGTATGAAGAGGAAGATAGAGCTGATTTGGACCAAGGATTGGGATGGATCACGTTCTTGGCTAAGGGAGAGAAGAGAATGGTGACCTTTAGGCAGCTGGAAATCTTGTTTGGGTTCAACTATGGAGAGGGTACCAAGTGGAACTTCAAGGAAAAGGAACTCCAAAGGGTTTGGGCTACAATCGCTGATGGAGTGTACTCTTCCTCAAGGTCCAAGGCAGCTCAGATCAGGAGCCCAGTCTTGAGGTATGTGCACAAGGCACTTGCCAACACCTTCTTTGCAAGGAAGGCGACCGGGACCATCAACGAGGGGGAACTCAAGTTTCTTGACATGGGAATCAAGCCCATTCTCTCACGCACAAGCGATGGCAAGAGGATAAGGGGAGATAGATCTGACACAGGGAACTTGATGCCTTTCCTTGACCATCTCCTTACCTACAAGATCACAGCCTACAACACTAGACATCAACGAGGGAGGCGCCTAAGTGTTGGAGGGCTCATCACTCCTATCTTGTGTGCTGCTGGAGTGAACCCAACTGATAGGAGAGCCACTGAACCAGGTTGGATGGTGATATCACCATATTTTACATGATTTTACTATATAATTACTATGTTTTCAAACGGTTTTTGCAAGATTCTTTGCCTTTAGAGGTAGTTTTCTTGTATTTGTGGGATTTGAAGTCTTTGTAGGTGAAATAATCAAAAAGGATGCAAAAAGGAGTAAAAGAGCCCTAAATCAAGATCCATGCAAGTTTCCAAGTCAAGAAGATCATTTTATCTCCAAGTGTTAGTTCTCGCTGCGCGCAGAACGAAGCTTCGGAAGTTTGGCCGCGCGCGGAGGAGTTCCCGACGTCCAAAAGTTACGATCTTGATATGGAAAGATAGATACTTGAGTCATGCATCACGTCGAAGTGGAATGAAGCCATTTGGATCAACTATGAGGCCTAGACTTATTTTCTACCGAGACATGTCCGGTAAGCGAGTAAACGAAGCCCATGGAGGATTTGGAGTGTCTAATGGCCCGAGCAGCAGCGCCAAAGGCCTTGATCGAATAGAGAAGAGGCCTGGCTAATGTTTGGAGCTTTCCTTGGTACAATGTCGGCCCATACACGACGTGGAGAAGAAGGCTTTGCTCGCGGGAAACTTTCCTTTTCCGGCATGAAGAAAACCCTACGCGACTTCGCCCATATATACATGTTTTTAGCCGCTGAAGAAGAGAGTCGAGTAGAGTCCGAAAATTATCAAAGAGTGTACGTGTGAGAAGAGAGAGAGGAGAGAAGCCCTAGGAGATCGTCCAAGAAGAAGGAGGCGCCGCTCAACTCTTGTTCTTTCTTTTTCATTGTTTCCATTTCTATAAACTTGATCTTAAGAGTTTTCAAGGGAGAATCCGACTTTGTTCATCAATAGAGAAGCTTTCTTCATCCCTTTATCTCTTTTAATACTTGCATAATGTTTACAATCATGCTTTGCTTGCTTGTTTGCATCATGGCCGAGTAGATCTCTTAGTTAGGCCGAGGAGATCTATGGTGGCCGTGATGATTTGATTGTGTTGCAACTTATTGGGATTTATCTTATGGATCTTCACCTTTACTTGAGCTTAATGCATGATTACTCTACCGTACATCTAGTAATCTGATCTTAGAGAAATAGAACCACGACAGTGCTGAATCTAGATCTCAAAACTAGTATTTGGTGAGCAATAGATCATAGCCAACGAAAGCTGAGTTATGGTTTATTGTGAACAATTGAATCTTGAACCTTGTAATGCATGTTTGCAATTCTAATAGCCAACGAAAGCTGAGTATATTAGGTTGTTTTAAACATAGTGGTTGGAGCCACGACAGTGGAAAGACCATACACTAGTGATTCATGTTCAAGACGGCTCTACACACATCCCATGCAACTATCTTTTCATCATTGCTCCATATGATTGTCCTTTGCCTAACTCTTGTTTTAAATTGTTTACAAACTCACTCACATTTCTTGTTTTGTTTTCTCATTCTAGGTCCAAAACCACCTCATATTGCGAGCTAGCTACAAACCAATCTCACAAGGTGTTAAGTGAGAACACTTCCTCCTCGTGTTCGACCCCGACTACAACACGGCTGTGCACTTGCAGCTCATTAGTTGGGTTTATAAATTGTGAAAATTTGAGGCAATCTAAACCCGCCATCAGATGGACATCAAGTTTTGCAAGACCAACCTCTCATTGAGCACAAGGAGTTGGATGGGAGGTTCCAATTCAAGTTCACACATCCACACATCCATTGGTTGGACCCTCCAAGCTTCTCCTGCCTAACCCAGAGCTCACCACAGTAGTAGGGGTGAGAACATTGACTTCAGACCCCCTGTGTACACATTAGTTGGGCATGAGGATGATTTGCGAGAAGAGGAGCCTGAGCTCGATCGAGCTGAGGATCGAGCTGAGGATCGAGCTGAAGATCAGGCCAGGAGAGTGCGGATTTGGGTGAGCCTGAGTGCTATTACTTTGAGGAGTATGAGGCTCCAAGGATGAACCCCTCTGTTGTGGCTGCCCACAAGAGGATTGGACTTCTCCAAAAGTTCAACAAATGGCAAGGGAAAGCCATTGAGAAGATGCAAAAGTCCATGGACAAGATGGTGAGCAAGATCAAAAGTTTGGAGAAGAAGGTTTCTGGTTCTTCAAGCAAGAAGAAGAAGTCCAAGGCCCCCACATTCCTAGGAGTAGATCTCCTCACCACTCCAAGGAGGCTCCCTGCCCAAGAGCCTCACAGAGCCTCTTCTTTCGAGCCAAGGGAAGGAGAAGACAACACGCAGAGAAGGAGGAAGACTTCCAAGGCCAGACGCTCCAGCTCGACCACCGGACTCGATCGAGTCCAAACAGAGGAAACTCAACTCGATCGAGCTGAGGGTCGAGTTGACCTGGAGGAGCCCCAGTTTGAGGATCCGGGATTTGATACGATCCCAGCCTTACCAGGACTCCCCGGAGTAGATGGAACCCCTATGGACAGTACGAGCTAGCAATGCTCCACCAAGGCCAAGGAAGCCACACACTTTGAGGAAGAGGAAGAGGAGAGCAAGCTCGATCGAGTGCACAGACCCAGTGAGTGGAGTGCTCCTGATGGCCGTCTACCATCTCCAGACCACGACCTAGCCTCCCAGTTCTTTGGGGGGCACTGAGGTATCCAAACACCAACCCTTGTATATACCATTTCATATTTTCTTGCATTTGTTTTGTTTTTCTTGGTTTTGCCCTCTTGAATCTTTCACTAAATTTTTCTCACACAAGGGACTGTGTGATTTAAGTTTGGGGGAGGGTTCAAGAGATGATTTAACCTTGTTTTCTTTGTTCTTAGTTTTTCACATCTTTTGCATAGAAAAACCAAAAAAATCATAAAATTTTCAAAAAATCCAAAAATATTTTCATCTTTTTGCATTCATATTTGTTAGACTTGTTTAGGATTGCATTTTTCACTTGCATTGTTGATTTGACTTTGAAAACTTGTCCATCTTTTGCGATTTCTTGAGTGCCCTGTTTTTAGATTCTTTTGTGCATTAGGGTGAGATTGATTGAGCAGCAAGAACCATGTTTATCTTGATCATATCACTGCATGCACATCTCATTCAACCATTGCTGTGATTTGATGCATTTCCCTATCTATTTGAACCATAACTTGATCTTTAATTACCAATGCTTGCATTTGATTTCAACTCATGGCTACCACATACATATCTGGACATTCTTTACCTATTTTCATATCCCTTTGCTTGTCCAGATAGCTGATCTCTATCTTTGAGACAGTTACCACACCTTAAACCTAAGCCTTTTTCATTTCAAACCCCATATTATCTCTTGTGCGAATGTGAGAACCTTTCTTGGCTTTGCTTAGCATAAGGTGTTGTGTTTAAACCGGCAGGGGCAGTAGTTCTAGTTGTCTAGTTCTCTTGGGATTGTTTTCAGGCTAAGTTTGGGGGTGCCAACTCGAGCTCGATCGAGTTGGGTGTAAAAACCAGAAAAGTGGTAAAAGTTGGGAAAAACCCAAGGCGGCTCGAGCTGCTGTTCTTGCATCATCTTTGGTTCTAACACTTAGCCTTCTGCCAAAGCAAAGCCACTTTCTTGAGAGATCCCTGTTACTAAACCACCATACAAAAGAGACCCTCTTTGTCTCTTAACCCATAAACCCTTGAAACCAAATGAGTTGATTGATCTTGCATGTTTTTGGTTCACTGTTTTTGCTTAATGAATGTTAAAGGGATTTGCTGATTTGAATGCATTGTTTGAGTGACTGTGAAGTGGGATTGATGTTGATAAGCATGGTTAAATCTTAATGAATATCTCTCACCTTGTTGCATTCTAGAATCTCTAAGTTGGACATTTAGCAAATCGCTTTTGAGGACATGTTTTTAAGTGTTGAATCAGCTATTTTCAAACCTCATCTCTTTCTTGTTCTATTTGTTTGCTTGAGGGCAAGCAAAGTTCAAGTTTGGGGGTGTTGATGTACTTGCATTTTACATAGTTTTAGCACATCTTTTATGCATCTTTTGCATAGTTTTAGCTTCCATTTGCATCATATCTTGTTCCTTTTCTCTTCTTATGCATTCATGTTAGTTTTAGGTTGCATTTGCATACATATGCATGTTTGGTCCTTTGAAATAGGTCTTTTGGAGCATTCTGGAGCATATGGGACATGAGGAGCATGGAGGGACTTGGCACATGGACGCAGCTCAACTGGATACGCAAAGGAAGAAGGGAGAAGCCATCTTGAAGACCAGCTCGACCGTCTACTCGACCAACCGGTCGAGTTCCTCAACTCGACCGGCCAAGCTTCAACTCGATCGAGCTGAGAAGTCAAAGTCAAACCCGAAAAATGTTGCTTCCCCCTTGACTTTCCTTTGACCCTAAACCTAATCCTCTTGTATTTAAAGGCTCTAAGCCACGAAAAAACCACCAAGCTTTAGATTATTTTGTTTTAGTTTCTTTTAATTTATTGTCTTTTACTTTTTAGAATCTAATCCCATCTTTGTGTTCTTGAAGCTCTTGCTTCTTGAATCTTAGATCCTGGATAATCTCTTTGTATTTGCACTTGCTTATTTCAATAAAAGTTGTTTAATTTCATCTCCTCTTTCTTATGATGTCTCTTTTATTGCATTTGCTTGTGTTTACATTCATGTGTAGTGAGTAGTTACCCATTAGGGTTTGAGATGGGATAGATTAGAGGTTTCATATGCTTAATCCTTCTAGCTTATGGTCTTAATCTAGATTCTCTCTCTTTTGGATAGATCTTAAGGCTACATGACCACTACCCCTGGCTTGTAAGTCCTTAGGCGACTCCCCACACGAAAGTGATGGCATTCGCTGGAAAAGATCCACTAAGAGCTCCAATATCTCTTGCTCTAGAAATAGAGGTCTAAGGGGTTGGATGGATTAGTTTGGGCAATGATCCTATAGCCTCCAAGGTTTGATTCTCACTGGCTAACCCCCTGTTTCTGAGATCATTCCTTGGTTGATAGCCTCACCTTGGGAAAGGGTTGGCTAGGCATTGAGAAGCCCAATATCAAGAGAAGCCTTGATACAAGGAGTTTTAAGAGCTAGATTGATTAAGTGTAGATTCCTTTGATTGCAAAACCCTGTCTTGAACCCTAATTCTCTCTTATCTTGTTAAAGTCGTCACCTTTAGCTTTGTTTGTCTCAACTCGTCCCTAAACTCGATCGAGCTGGTACTTTCTCTGACTCGACTCGAGTCTTGGTCGAGCTGTACTTCACTGCTTTGTTTACTTTTATTGCACTGCATTTCTTTTATTTAGGTTGTTAGTGTTACTTCAAATCTTTACTGCTTGCTTGACTTTCTGGTTGTTTCATATTCTCATAGAGTGACAAGTTTCCCATTTTGGATTGATAACCTCTTGTACTACATGACTATGATGGTTAAGAGGAATTGATTGATTGTGATTGCACCATTTCATCTTTATTCACCCCTGTTTGCATTCCACCTCATATCTTATCATCCTTCATTCATATCATATCACATCCACGCAAAATCCTATCATCACGAACCTTTGGAGATTTTCATACCTTCCTTTCAGAAGGCGATCTCTTTGATCTAAGGCATTCGGGCAATCCGTTATCTTGGCGTGGAAGAAGAAATGACCATTTCGTCCGATGTAGACTTGAACGAGCTCTGTCAAACAGTGAATGGGCGGAACTGTATCCTTCCGGAAGGTGCGAGCATCTGCGGTTTGAAGGATCAGACCATCGTCCTGTAGTCTCATATTTTGACCCTAATAGACAAAAGAAAAAAGGTCTCTTTAGGTACGACCGACGCTTAAAGGATAATGACGAAGTCAAAGCACTTATCACCAAGGTCTGGGAAGAAGCTTCAGAGGCGAACCTAAATCAAAAGATCATTCAGTGTAGACGTGCCTTGATAAACTGGAGCAAGAGCAAACATTTGGACAGTCAAAAGCGAATAGAGGAATTAAAGCAGGGCATAGAGGCTGAAATCAGTAGTGCTTCCCCAAATGAGGAACTCTCACTAAAACGAAATGAAGAACTAAGACACGCTTACAATGCTGAAGAAGCGTTTTGGAAACAAAGAAGCAGGCAGCTATCGCTCCAGCTCGGTGATCATAACACCACCTCTTTTCATGCAGCAACAAGGGCACGCTTTGCTATAAACAAGTTTTCCGTCTTAGAAAATGATGCAGGGGATGTAATCTATGAAGAGGAACAAATGTTGCAGGTCATTACTGATTATTTCAGGACCTTATTACGGCTTAACCTGTCATGTATGATCAAAGAAGAGCTGTTATAAATATGGCCCTGGAGCCTATTATATCTGATGCAGCAAATCAGAAACTAATCAAACAGCCTTTACCTTTGGAGATCAAGGAAGCGCTGTTTGGAACCCACCCTGACAAAGCCCCAGGGCCTGATGGATTCTCAGCAAGTATCTTCCAATCCAATTGGAATATTGTGGGAGCAGATATTGTGTCAGACGTGCAAGGCTTCTTCAGCTCCGGAGTTATGGCACGCAGTTCAAATGAGACACACATCCGGCTAATCCCGAAAATCCTGGCACCAAAAAAAGTTGCAGATTATAGACCGATAGCGCTATGCAACGTGTGCTACAAGATTATTTCTAAGCTATTGGCAAGACGTCCACAACCTCTCCTAGATGGTATCATCTCAGAAAATCAATCAGCCTTTGTCCCAAAAAGAGCCATTTCAGACAATGTCCTAATCACGCATGAAGTCTTACACTTTCTAAAGGTTTAAGGCAAAAATTTCATGTTCTATGGCGGTCAAGACTGACATGAGTAAAGCGTATGACAGGTTGAAATGGGATTTTATTAGACAAGTCATGCAGAAGCTAGGTTTCCATGAGATATGGATATCTAGACTAATGCAATGAATCACCTAAGTCTCCTACTCAGTCTTGTTTAATGGAGCGCCAAGAGGGAGTATAGTACCTTCTCGAGGGATCAGACAGGGAGATCCTGATGATAGGATTTGTGTGTGGTGTGAAAGATATGATATGAGATGTGGTGGAATGCAACAGTGGTATATGATGAGGTGGTAAGATGCAAACACAAACACAGTCAACAATTCCCTTTAACCATGATAGTCATTATAGCATAAAGGGTATCAATCCAAAATGGGAAACTTGTCACTCTATGAGAATATGAAAAACAAGGAAGTCAAGCAAGCAGTAAATGATATGGGGTAACACTAACAACCTAATGAAAGAAATGAAATGCAGTAAGTAAATAAAGCAGTAGAGCAACAGCTCGACCAAGGACTCGAGTCGAGTGGAACAGAGTACCGAGCTCGATCGAGTTTAGGGTCGAGTTGAAGTAAAAAGCAATAAAGGCAGCGACTTTAACAAGCTAATGCGAGAATTAGGGTCTAAGACAGGGTTTTACAATCAGAGGAAGCTATACTTAATCGATCTTGCTCTCAAAAACTTGTATCAAGGTATCTCTTGATATTGGCTTCTCAATGCCTAGCTAACCCTTTCCCAAGGTGAAAGCTATCAACCAAGGATGATCTCAGAAACAGGGGGTTAGCCAGTGAGAATCAAGCCTTAGGAGGCCATATGACTCCATTTCGAGAGCAAGAGTTATTGGAGCTCTTAGTGGACCTTTTCCACGATTTCCATCACTTCCATGTGGAGAATCGCCTATGGACATACAAGCCAGGGGTAGTGGTCATGTAGCCTTAAGGATTTCCAAAAGAGAGAGATTTCTAGATTAAGAACATAAGCAAGAAGGATTAAGCATAAAATCCCCTAATCTATCCCATCTCAAACCCTAATGGGTAACTACTCACTACACAATGATGGAGATGAAAGAGGAGATGATAAACAACTTTTATTGAAATAAGCAAGTGCAAATACAAAAGAGATTATCCAGGATCTAGGATTCAAGAAGCAAGAGCTTCAAGAACACAAAGATGGGATTAGAGCTCTAAAAAGTAAAAGACAATAATTAAAAGAAAGCTAAAACAAAAGTAATCTAAAGCTTGGTGGTTTTTTCGTGGCTTTTAGCCTTTAAATACAAGAGGATTAGGTTTAGGGTCAAAGGAAAGTCAAGGGGGAAGCAACATTTTTCGGGTTTGACTGTTGACTTCTCAGCTCGATCGAGTTGAAGCTTGGCCGGTCGAGTTGAGGAACTCGACCGGTTGGTCGAGTAGTGGTCGAGCTGGTCTTCAAGATGGCTTCCTCCTTCTTCCTTTGCGTATCCAGTTGAGCTGCGTCCATGCACCAAGTCCTTCCATGCTCCTCACGTCCCATATGCTCCAGAATGCTCCAAAAGACCTATTTCAAAGGACCAAACATGCATATGTATGCAAATGCAACCTAAAACTACTATGAATGCATAAGAAGAGAAAAGGAACAAGATATGATGCTAATGGATGCTAAAACTATGCAAAAGATGCATAAAAGATGTACTAAAACTATGCAAAATGCAAGTACATCAGGTAACCTTGCAAATCTCTTCAAGAAAGCTTCTCTAAAATCGATCCATGACTCGATT